TTGGAGCGGTCTATCCACAGGCGGGACACGCCGTGCAGAGACTGCCACGCGGTTGGAAGATTTGTTGGAGGTGGCGGGCTGTCTTCCTTAGTCGGCCTCCGCGAGAGACAAGTTCGGTCCCCGGTCTCGTCCAGGGTCGAGTTCGTTCGCAGGGCATTCATAAATCTTCGAACTTTAAAGCCAGACTCGCAGTGAGAACATGAGAGACACGACGATACGGGGAGCGATACGAGTAAGTGATGTCAGCGGCCATCGCGCCACTCACCTTATTAAGGTGGGAAGCGATAGTAATGGATCCATCGATATTATTTAAGAGTGCAAAATAAGCGAAGTTTATGATTTTTTCTTTAGGGTAACGTGTGTGACGTGAGGTAATAAATGTTTTTTGGCTGTATTGTATCGTAAATGTATGACAAACAAATATTTTTGTATTCAATTTTTATTCACTCGTGTCTCTGATACACAGGTACGTAGATGTATTAGAATACTAATGCAGACAGAATACTACATGTATTCTTTTTAATTCGATGTTTTAAGAATAAGCGTTATCTGAACAAATTTCATTTTTTCTTACATAGACAAGGAAGAAGGAATAATATTCATATATCAGAGAATGGTAGCGCATATAGTACGACCAAGAAGAAGGCGATTCTACGCGTGAAAACAAAAGAAAGAATAAAATTTCATTGTTACCGCAAGCGCCAAAACGCCTCCATACATGGCTGATTATGTTATTGTTTCTCACTCATTTCCTCCTCCTTTATCGTTTCTATTTCTTGCTTTCTTCTGCTATCTTCTCCTTTGATCGCTTTTCCAATCGCCGACAACACCATTGGAAGACCTACATTGGAAACTATCCGAGAATCCAGAAAGAAGATTGGGAAGAAAGAAAAGTGGCCCATCGCGATGGTCGTGTGGTGGATTTCAGCGTGGAAACTGGTAATATAAAGAGATAGTCGTTCCATAGGATGGGAATAGGTTTTCGAGAAAGGAATAAACCTTACACGACCGTCACGATCGATCGAATATTTCATTCTCCTGGCGTGGACGTAACTGGGATTTATACCATTCAAATGAACAAATCGCACAAGTCTTTCTCTAACTTTGTTACGCACCATTCTTTAGGAATCTACTCACGATACCAATAATGAAAAAAAAAAACAGATATTCACGTCGAAGAAATGATTTTCTATTCTCTTGACGTCATTTCGCCGAATCTAATGTTGCCCTGTAACTGGCAAAGAATAAAATGGAAATAAAATCGATGGCAGACAGTTATACAGTTCTGTGCAGAGTTTGTGATTATTAGATTGCTAAAACAAACGCCACGAATCGGGAGAAATCGATATCGGTAGATAGAAATTGGTTTATTCATGGTTATGACAGGTTTTTGTGGCATTTTTGTAGCCCATCTGCCTCTCCCTTCATCTATGGTTCTCTACCTGAAGAGAAATGCGGTGATTGTTAACAATGACAGATATCTGGTCCTTGTTAAAGAGAATACAGTAATTATCTGACAAGTCTTCTCTGTTAACGAGCACTGCGATAGTCGAGGATCAGAACGAACGACGTAATTTAGACACCTAGTCTGGAACAGATCCATGACAAATTGTCGATTTCATGGATGTCCTTTGTCAGATGTCTACTTCAATTTCACGCGCTATGAACTGCGGGAATTGAACGACTTAAGTTGCAATAAATTGATACACGATACTCCGTTTTCACTATTCAATTGGCGTACACTTTTATGAGTACATATCGCGCACAGAAATACGCTTGATTATCTATGTTAAAACTTTTATTATAAAATTCATTAATAAGTCGTTAATATTTATGCGACCTATTGTAAACTTTAATTCTAAGATATTCATTTTCTCTGTATGATGACACTATCATTGGTTAAAAATATTTAGCCAACATTGAATTGAAAGAAATGGAGAATTACTGCTGCGGATACGAACAAATTTAATTTAGGTAATCCCGATGGTTGGAATTATTACAATCATAATTTAAGAAGAGAATAAAAATGATCGAATCGTCGACAAATGGGTCGTCGGAGACGTCCTTATAGACGGGGTAGCAGTTAAGTTCCACGCGAAGACTGAATTAAAGTTTTCACAGTAGTGGAAACCCATTATTGATTGTATAAAGTTAATCGACGAGCAAATGCGAAAGTATGCTGAGTAAAATTCTGACGGAAATATATTTAAACGTGGTAATGTAGCTGCGCATATTAAAAAGTAGGTTGAAGAGTACTTTTCTACTAAAAAAGGCAATTCTTTTGAAATGTTCAGCAAGATCTCTTGACTTAAACGTAATTAAGAACCCTTGAGAAAAATTTGCATGAGGTTTTTGAATAAAGGAAACGAAATTTCAGAACATAGAATATTTTTAATGTACGTTCTACAATAATAGCAAACAGTTTGTCGAGAAACAAAAAGAATTGTAAGACAATTTACAATCACTTTTTACACTGTCAAGTAATTTGTCTTTAATCTCAGGCCTAACGAAGGCTAATGTGATAACAAATGATCGGTAAAATAATGTTTGTCCTTTTACTGGCTCACGTTTATGCATGATATTTATGCATAATAAATAGACATAGGACATATAATGTGCGTTGACCTTGGTAGTTTTAGTGTCAAGATTGCTTATCATGCAAATAAACATGATCATACCGAATGTATAGCATAGACATATCCTAATTTACTCGAGCAAATTGCATTCGGCACAACCAAACGAATACGCTCGGCTGATCGAAAAAGTATAATTAATTCTCGAGGCAAATGTTACAGTTGGCTAGCAATTTCCTGCTGATGACTCTTCACATCTTTCGTTCCGTTGTGTGCCCCAGATCCACTTCCACGATTTTCATTTCGCCCCGATGAGTTCTCTGAAAGGTAGGGCATCCGTCTCCTCTGTACTTTCTTTTCTTGAATCGTTCGCCTCTCCGACGAAATTGGGACTAAGAGAATATACTTACCTAGTGCACAGTGCGCAAGGTCTTCTACTCCAAGTGTTCTCGAAGATCTTCGCTCTCGCGGTACTTTTACGAGCGCTCTGACCCAAGCTTTATCGTTTGAACATAAGCCTTGTTCTGCCAGTACGAGTGGAGGACACATTTACGGTTCCACGGACACAAATCTTGTTAGTTCTTACACCTTTTCAATTGGTATCTCACAGCATATTCGATTGATATTCAAATTAACACTCGGAGGGCTGTAGTTTCTGACTTTCTCAAAGGACCACCAGCGACTTTTGTTACACACGTATTATACTGGTTATCTATAGTGTTTATTTTCAAACTCAAATTTTCTAGCTAATGTGAAACTATATAATGTAATGTACGTTTCTTTTTTTGGCTTGTTACAGGTACTAACAGAACACAAAATCAACTCGAAGACACACTAACCAACCATAACCTTCGAGTCTACGCACTATGATAATTCTGAGGATTCCACCGCATCGGCTTAAATCGTGAAAGTGATTTGTAAATAACGTATCCCGTAAATGAAAAATCGCGGATTTTATTTTTAATTAACGCACGCTTATTTAAACCACTAACGCACCGTGGGTTCCGGATATCCAATCAGCGGAAACAGTACCTTCAGAATCAATTTAAATACTCTATCTCTGAAGAGAGGAAACAACGTGGTTATACGCAAGAAAGGGTGAGCACGTAACAAAGTCAAAAAAAAAACTCCATTTTCTCTGCGTCCCAATTTCTCGGCGAGTCATTCCGTTCGTAATGAAAATTGAAAGCGGACCAGTTTGCCTTTTGGTATCGCACAGAAACAGGCTAAAATCTCTGCACGCTTATTTTAACACCAGTCTTCTTGTTATTTAGTACCACATTTGAAGAAATACCGATGTAAAATTTCGGTAATCGCCATGAGCTATTAATTAAACAACATTAACAACAAAATTTTCAGATGTAGTGATACAAACATTTAAATTGAAATGATCGAAACTAAATAGAAATGAAGTCTATAGTGAAAGCTATTCAAAATTCATAATCTTTAAAATTGCTGAACGTCTACATATGTTATAATATTGAATTTTAGAATAATACACAAAAGGAATATTATTAATACATTACTTACATAAATATTACGTATAAAGTGATGAAATGTCACACCTTAAATGAATTAATTTTTGTACTTTTCCACTGTATATACCGATGCACTCAAGATTTCTTGGTATTTGACGATCGAGAGATCAGTAACAAAAAAACGAATTTACGAATGAACGATCTAGTATGTCATCGTAGATTTACAAAAAAGTGTGAAATTCTCTTATCTGAATACTTGTGTCCCTTAATTAGTTCATATAACGGAGATTCTACCGTATTTAAATTAAACTGGCTGAAGACTGTTTGAAAAATTTGCATTCGGTGAAATTCGATAAACTTTATTGTTTTTTAGCATCCTGATAGAAACTCAATTTGCTACGGTGGTTCCGACGAAAGCACCCTCTTAAATTGCAATCCTCATAAATTCCTGACTATTCGTGGCGAATTCCGAGAGTGCGAGTGTATTCAGTAGGAAAGTACGCTGCTGGCAGACGTAGAGTACGGAAAAGCAGCAACATTCGCTGACATCACGCGTCTGTGTGCAATCGATCGACTCCAAATCCGTAGTGAAAGATAATGCTGGCAATCCAGAGAAAAAAATAAAAATAAATGGATGGTCGAATTCGTTTTTTACGACGAACGTGCCAAAATGTGCCCAAATCGTTTGAAAATATGGAAATAAGCTCCAACATCGTGGAAAAATAATGTAATTGAGTAAAATCTCTGTAGACTTGTATTTTCCATAGAAAGAATTAAAAAGATATGAAAACTATGACTTGAGGTTTCCCCAATTTCATACAGACAGCAACGTATTACAAAATCAAAGTTGAACAGTGATCGGTTTGGTGTAAAATGTCCTGTAAATCGATTGAAAAGTAAAAATAGGAAAAGACCACAACGAAGGAGAGACGAAATTCATTGCAGGACACTTCGAAGAAGCCTGCGACTGCGTCACCAGGAGATCGCGGAGCCCTCCTCGAAAAGAAGGAGCTCCGCACAAGAAGGGGCACGTAAACGTACCCCTGGGCCCGCCGTGGTGTTGTCCGCCGGGGGTGGCGGTGGCAGCGGGGGTGGAGGTGGGTGCAGACGACGTGACTTGGAACGACGTGAGGGTGGCGGTCGGGGGGCCCCCTGCCTTGCCACCATCAGCTCCTCTGTTGCAGGAGGCGCGGGGGGTTGTGGCCCTGTGGTGGGGCTCCCCTCCTATAAAAAGCGTCAAGGTATCTTCTTCGTCCCCCAAAAAGTTGAAACGTTACATTGCTGGAATTTTTATTCGAGTAATAATCTGTAATGTTTCCAAAATTTTCTGTTGAAATTATTCTTATTATTACTAAAGAACAATTTTTTGTTTAGTTAAACCAATCTGCATGCGTTATTAAATAGTAGTGATTTCAACTTTGCTGTTTGTAATTGGATTCACAAGAAATTATAATATAATGTTCATTTGACTGATTGAAAAAATTAATTACGTGCAATACTAGTACATACACTACTTATTATGAATTTTGAGATCATTTTGTTAATGATTGCTTGTATTATGCAGTATAACAAACAATTTTTAATTTTAAACCAAGCTATAATTAGCTGTTAGTTGCATCCAGTGTGCAGAGATGAGAAGTTGGCTACCAGGTTTGATTGATTCTAGATCTAGAAGATTGTATTGTTACCAGTCAGACTTGCTAGCCTACTTCCTATTTTTACACATTACTAAATCTGCATGGGTATTAATGGCTCAATAACTGTTTTATGCTAAATTCAAACCTGAAACGACTTCAGTTAAATTTAACTTCTTCAACTTATTTAAAACCGTACTAAAATTCAAATTTAACTATTTATGATACCACTTTGATGAATTTGTAGTCGCTGTGGAAATAAAATAATGTTATTTCAGTGTTAGTTCAGTGATCAAAACATAATATTTGTTTAAACATTTCACACCATTGTATATTTTGAATATATTTTACCTATAGAATATTTTATTATCTTCTTTACATGGTGAAATCCACATTAAGTGTATTTCTATTTAATAGTTTTTTTTTTTGGAAACATACAGTTAATAGCCACTGAAATAAATGGATATTAATAAGAGATTATTACTCTAACAAAAATGACCTCATATGTATACGGATACGAAATTTAATAAGCATTTTTTCATTAGCCAGTAGTTCCATAAAGCTTCGTTCGAATCTGCTTTCAATATTAAACGACTAGTGAAAATATCACTTTTTATCTGCAAAATAGTAATTCTACTGAATATCATGTCTTTTCAACATTCGTAAAATTTGGTACATACTACATGTATGAAATTAAATAATAAAAATAGAAACTATGCAAGAATATACCTTACATACACTTTTGTCAATGTGTTAAGGTTATTATTTAATGAAAGTGGTGTTTTGATAATAACGAGGACATTGGATTCGTATGCTGATCGAAATCCACCGAGGCGAAAATGCATATGCATCTCATACATGCACTTTACGTATATTTTAACGACTGTGGATAGCTATAACAATGCTGTTATACATTTTACGTCAAGCGGATTGTTAGAAGGAACATGAAACGTGCAAGTACAGTATGCATAATTCCAACCCACTAAGAAATACGTGAAGGAGTAATAATGGCAATTAATATAATAATTCAAACCGTAATTATGAAATTACTAGTTACTTACTTTTAACAATGTAATAGAACTCCATCCATTGTATTGTATAATTTGTAAAACATCACTTTGTTAGACAAGACCATAAATTGTCTATTCATCACATCCACCGACGGTGGCCTTAGATAGACATCTTATTCCATGTCCTAAACATCTTATTCCATGTCACAGCGTATCTGGGTCACCGTGGTCATTCTACACGTCTGTATCCGACATTTATAGTCAACAAGCCCGGATCTTGATTAGCCAGCTTACATCGTCGAACATGAAGTCACGATATCGCTACATTATCTACTGTTTTTTTTAAGTCTTTAGAACATTTTAGTTAACGTATTGATACTTTTTGTTTCTTGAATTTATCTTTCTTATACTTTCTAATACAAACCAGTCGCGTATTATAGAATGTGTGTGGATAGTATTTAGAATCAATGATGAAAATTATTGAGAAATGTTATTTCACTATTGCTCAGAATAGCATATAATAGCATAAACTAATAACTAGTAGCCGTACTATGATCCAAATGCAATTTATACGTGAAAAGACGGATTTCTTTCGCATTGTGAACATCACTCAGGGGTTTTATAGCTCTTTAGAGTAGAAACAGAAAGACCTTTTCTTGCGACCTACGACTGGGTTAATTTGTACAAAATTTAGGTCGCAATGAAGACGGCATTCGCTCGAAAGCGCACAAAAAATGGGAACTCTTTATGGATTTTTTCTTTCTTCTAAAAGGTGATAATTCTTGTCTTCAACATTGTTCCATTAATGTTAAAGTTACATTTTCACGCCGTTTCATTAAACAATGACAAATATTTATCGCAATATAAGTATTATTTTGCGATTATATACAAAAATTACTACTTTGCTAACTTCCTTCATCGGAATCATAAAAAACAAGAAAAAACCTCGTTTATTCTAATCAGTGGAATTTTCTTCAAGGATCAATGCTAATTAAATTAACCACTAAAACAAAAGCGAAAGTTTTGTTTTGAACAGAACTCTTTTGTCTCTGACTGACACAACTGTCGATGTTACAATATTGTTCCTGTAGAGTTTCTGATAAAGCGTTAAAACAGGTTAGCAAAGTACGTCCTATTGAAAAACACTCGCGTGATTCCAATTAGCCATTACTGGTGAATTGATCTACATTAGCCTTCAATACTCCGTTCTCAACCTCTTGCGGTACTGTATTCACGTTAAGTGCTTTCAATTTAATTCAGTCTCATTGCACCTTTTACCACACTATGAGCGTTAAACCAATGGTAGCTTTCTGTTACCGTAATTGATTCGTTCACTTTTTAAAAATCAATTCCAATCCGATATTACGTAAGAATGTATAAGGCAAATTTGAAGACATTTTTAATTAGAGAAAGCAGAAGCATTGCTAATAATTTTCCAAAAATTGACAAAAATTGTGATATGAGCTTAGAGAACAGAATCACTAGTGAAATTTGTTGAGTTTTATTGGTGAAAATGGTGATTCCAATTTTCGGTAATGCTAATGTTTTATAATATATTCTCTTAAAAATGTCTTCTTTAATAAAAAATTTAAGAACATAACTAAATAAAAAGTCCAGATACATTTGTTACGTTTTACTTTGAAAAGTCATGCACCTTTCCTGACCGAATTTCATCAAATCCCTGTATTTGCTTCGATGTATTTCGATCAACACGGTATTAATAACAATGCTTGGAAAAAGAGTATTACATATAAGCTGCAGCGAATATCTGATAACCAGTGTTGCACAACCTTGTTAGAAAAAATTAAGCTGCTTTATATCTTTAAACTTTTACTATATCGAATTAAGAAAAAAAGGGTTGAAAGTGGAAAAAAAATAATTCCGGAGGTACAGAAATATCTCTATGCAATTTTGAACGCCATGAATTCTTTAAAACCTGTGCCGGAGAAATCTGAAACTAAAACTAAATTACGTGCTGATAGCATTTTAACGCGATTCCCGTGTTCTCGTTAAAAATTCAGTTATTTTCACGTGACGCCACCAAGCACGATCTTCATTCGCGATTTACCCAAAGCACCAATATATCACGACGGATCCTCCCGTTTAAACTCGAGACACCCTAATCTCTCAGTTGCGTTGGCCTAAGTAACTATGTCTGTAACAGAGGTTTTGATAGAAGTTACGTCGGTACCTCGGATCAACATGCACCCGAAATACCTTCCCAAACTATATTTACCGTCCGCTGTTGCGTGCAAGGCCAGGAAACGTTAATGCTGTTCTTCGAGTTTGAGCTAACCGCGGGAAATTGGGGAAAATAAGCTCACTGGGACTAAGAAAACTACCAGCCAAGATGATAATAATACGGTGCCTCTGTTACGTACAATAACGCCGTGCGAATTACTCAACTTGTCAGATGATTCTGCTGAATAACTGAAAACTTATTTCAATGTTATTACTTGTTTTGCTCCTGTATTTTCGAAAATACGAAAGTAAATACTGGGTGCTTCGTTACGAAACACGAGAGGTAAAATTTGTCGGAAACAAGTGCGCTCATTAATCATCAGTAATTTTCTGAACTAACATGTTACTATCTTTCAATGTAATGATGATAAAAGTAATTAAAATTCATGATCGATACTGACACGTTTACAATGAAATGTATTATTTGGATAAATATTTCATATTGTCCCCTACAACTAAAACCATGTATATGCTAGATGGACAACAACCTACATTGTATTGTACGTTCATGACTCAAAACAATATAACCACCACTGACGAAATTAGATTATTAATTTTTCTATATTTGCATTCGGCATAAATGCATAAATATCAACAGCTATAATTCTGACAATTCGAAAACTTCTTAGAAACACCTTTTTAGAAATATATTAAAGAAGCAATAGAAATATCGACAAAAAAAATTCAAATTCAAAAAAAAGGAGTGTCCCCTTAAGCAGTGACAACTCAAACAGTCTTGGTCGTTTTGGGTAAATCGCAAGCCTAATTACTGAACGTCTTCATAGATTACGTGCGAAACCCACGCAAATCGTTAAGAGTCTTCGCGATAAGCATAATTCGGCTTAAAATTCTGAAGGTAGCGGTGCCGCCTGGGGTCGAGGTAGCCGTGGACGTGACAGAGGTCGCGGGGGCGGCGCGAACCTATTCGGTTCAGGCGTCGCCCCCGCGAATTACGCTTCAGGATTGCCAGGCGTAACGCCGGAGCTGCGGGAAGTTGTGAACATCCTTGGCGAGAGGAACCAAGTCGGCACACTCACCGGCGTGGGACCACCGCCTGGAGCCGTGGACAACGACGGCCAGGGGGACGAGGAGGAGGGCACCTCCCCGAAAAGGCCACCGAGACCCCTCTACAGAAGGCTGATTAATTACATTCGACAGGCTTGGACTGGCGTGAAGTTTGCGCTAGGTATTATATCTATGCTTGTGGATGACAGTGACTTGATGTAAATGAGATTTGCATAACGAGGGTGATCGCGTGATTTGCATGCACGAACGCACGATAGATCGAAACTGTTTCGAATCATTAAAATATGAAGTTTGGCTACCGCGATATACGCAAACTTTCGGAGCAGAGGTTTAGATGCTGGAATCTATGATTAAATTGCAGAATAAAGAATTGATGAACTTTACGGTACGACTCTGCTGTAGGTTTTTTTTTTATGAATTTTTATTACATTATTTTGTCATGTTAAATGTAATGGTATTGTTACAGAGCTTCAAATACTATTAAGCAGACCTTAAAAGTTGATTTACTGAACATTATTATTCGACAAACTTTTTTGTTGAAAGCTAAAATTTAGAAACTATGAGAACTAAAATTAAACCATCGTTAAGTAAATCTCTGGTTCGATGTATTATTAGATAGTGTTAGAAAGTGTTAGATCACTTAGTGCACGATTTTGTGTAAGTAATCTAAGAAAGAAACGGTTTATAGTAAGTGTTTTCAGAGATAACTTTAAGTATCTCCAAAGAGCACTTCAATAAGCATAGCGAGTACGGATACTTAGAGAACTGACTGTATATACTAATACAGAAAATTTTCTTCTAAGGTGTACTCTTTGTCTGAATAGGCTGATAGTTAAAGTGTTACTTTCGATTAAATATTATAGACATCATAATAGTCAAACGACACAGATCACAAGGAGATCATATATAAATTTTTCTTCTCTAGATTTATTATCAAATTCTCGTACCTTGGTGGTTTTAAAGAATTGACCCAACAACCTGATTAATTTATCCCACACGGAGCATTAAAATGCACGCCACTGGCGTATGAGAAATTTAAGCGCGGGTATCAAGCAGAATAAACGCCAGGTCGGTTATACGTTTCCCGAAGTTCGTGCCAATTCATTGCATGCTCTATCGTATCCGTGAGCTGCATCCCATTAAGTGGCTGAAACGCATTTTCTTAAAACGTGCGAGTCTCTTGAGCTTCTGTTGCATCGAAGCTAGGGGCCACTCACGTGTTTTACCGCGGATCAATGTTGCATGATTCCTACATGTTTCTTTATACATACGTGTGCACTCGCCACTACTCTACGTGTTCCGAAGGTTATTGTGTCCGACTTATCTTCAATCGGTTCTTTTCCGATACTTCGACGAGTGGCTATCATTGCAGAGAGCTTTCTATTCTCCCTGGCCAGCGTCGTCGTACGATCATCGAGAAAATTTGAGGGAGACACTCTTAAATGTATCGTGTCACATTTAAATTAAACTAATGAAAAATGTATGCCACTGCAGGAATACAACTGTGAATTTGTAAACAGCGTGTAGAATAATTTTCCTAATAACAATCCAAGGTTTCAATTTGTAGAAAAATTTGATTCATTATAAAGATATAAAGTAAAATAAATCGATGTTTTCCATTAAAATAACGGGTGCCGATGACGTTCTTCGCCGTTATATGCAAGGCTTTCCAACCGTACCGAAGGTAACTGAATTCACGAAAACGTTTTCCTGGCTGGAATTCAACGCCTCGTTTAATCGAAACGACTAAACGCATACGTCGATTCCCATCCAAACAACCTGACAATAGGTAGCACGGCATTCGTGGAAAATTCATTTAAACACTAAAGTGTACACGTTCGTGATTGGTAAGTACACGCGTGTCGATTGCACGTGTTTCAGATCGTCGCTCGTGTCAAGGCAGACGCGGATATGTGAATGTTAATTACAACGCCTTTGTACCGTTAGACTAAAACGTTGCTATTACAGATTCAGAGTGAGAATTGTAGAAGCCACTTTGACGGGGTCACACAGTGTAACTATGTGTTACGTTACAAAGGAAATGCGTCGAGCTTGTCATTAATTTCCTATCGGAATTTTAAAAGACCGTTTGATGTATTTAATAATCGAATAACACATTCAGTGATAGCGCGTTATTCTGGTTTGTGGAAGCATGAAATTGAGCAATCTCAAAACTGGGTTAGGTTTATCTTCCTGGATTTTCACTGTGACACACGACGCCTGGGTTAATAGACGTATGCCATAACCTAAGATTGCAACGAATCCCCCGAATCAAATTCTCCCACGTCGTGAGAGAGCATCGACCATACTTCACGCGAATTTCAATTACGAAAGCGCATTCTTTCGTGTTGCTGTATCGCAACGTGGACGAGATTTATGCCATAACCACACCGCAGCTCGCAACACCATTTTTCAATCTCCAAGGAAAAAATCCAGCCACAAACAGTTGTTGCTAAAATTGTCTTACCGTTCTCGTGTCTTTTTTATATATTTTTCTATCGTTTGTTTAGTACTAGAACTACTAAGCTATCCTGGCTATTAATATTAATTATTTTAGATGGTAATAAAGAAGAAACAATGAGTTAATTTTTGAAAAATGTCAAGTACATTAAAGAAAAATGTGTCGTGTGAAACTTCCAATTTCTTAAATGTTTCTTCTGAAATAATATTTGTGTATGTAATTCTAAATTGGCAAAGGAAATATTAAGAAATTTCGTCATTCAATATCGTAAATTCCCATCTATATATCCTGCATCGACAATGCGATTCCTTGAAACGATATGCTTATATTGCTACCAAGAGACCAAGACTATCGCTAGTAGTAACATATCGTCTAGGATCAGACATAACTGTGCTCATAGATAACATTTGGGACAGGTTAGACGATCCTCACGATAGATAACGTAATCGCAAATACGTTTATGTAACATTTTCTAAAGAATATCTTGTTCAATGAAATATACATAATTCTGATATAAATATAATATCTTCAGACTGAACTGATAGGAGTTTAAAAACATGATTTGTTTAATGAATAGGTTAGATATTTCTCACGTAAATGAATATGGAATTTATGGAAATATAGATCAATATCGGTCAAAATGTAATCTAATTAATGATCAACAATTACGATTGCCGTGACACCCATTCAGTGATTAATGATTATGATTACTGAGTAATCAGTGCGCGTGTTTAATGAATAATACAAATATAATCAAAACGTATGTAAGCATCAGGCATGATTAACCTGTTGACCATTACAAGAAGTAATTAATTTTGAATCATGATTCAGTTATGATTGAAACGAAAACATTTCAAACTTTCGTACATTTTTGATATGGACAAATTCTTTATTTGAATAACAACTACTTTGATTTTTCAAATTTTCACTTAAACAAACATGTTAATAAATTGAAAAATATAATACAATGTACCTCGATTCATTCTAATTATACGTACCGAGTTTTACAATAGTATGTATCATATACATAAACATACGAGCGGGAAATTCTGCGACCTACGAAGTTGAATCAGGCGAACTCTATATCGGATAGAAGTTTGTTAATATAGTTAGCTGTACAGCATGTGGAAAATGTAAATAAATTTCGTTCCCACGATTAACAGAAGAATCGTTTATTTTAACTTCGCAGACTCGGAATACGAGGAGGAGCAGACGCCGCGATATAGACCGGATTCTCTGGCGAGCCTTTGTCGAGCAACGAGATTCACCGAGGCCGAGCTGAAGAGAATATATCGTGGCTTCAAGGCAGAATGTCCCACGGGAGTCGTCAGAGAAGAAACTTTCAAGTGCATCTACTCACAGTTCTTTCCGCAAGGTGGTAGGTACATTATAGTATAATATTTTTAAAAGTGTTGCTCCCTTCTCTATTAACGTTGAATCTAAAGCAACGGGCAGCGGGATTGTAAAGCAGGGACAAAGTATTGTTCAGAGCTTGCCGTGTCACTTTAATATTGTATATTTTTCAATTACAAAAGGTATTGTGATCGTAATAAATAATGATAATTTTCATATAAAAGCAAATATACACATACGTGTAAATATCCCTCAGAAAGTTAAGGTGGCTAAAAATGATCAAAGTGCACTCAGAGCAAAATTAAAAAACAGTTATTTCAAGAATAGTTTCAAATACAACATCCGCACCTGTGTTGCCTTTCACTGTTTATTTAAAGTCTGTATGCACATTTCAATTCTCTGTGGTTTACGGTAACACGGAATTGCGTCAAAAAAACATAAGCAACAGAAAAGATGTATGCGTGTAGGTGCGAGAGAACGAAAAATACAAAGCAAGGAAAAACAAAACCGAATAGAGCAAACAGCCTCGCCACGTTGCGTTGAACGTGCATTAATAGTATCCATGGTAACAAATTCCTACGTCAAAATGGACTAGTACTTCATGCATTGCACATCCTCCAGGAGCGTTAGCGATATCGATACCCCTGGAAAAGTGTTTTTGTATCTGTTTCGAGCGTTTTTATATGCTTTAACATCCGTAGGCGAAACACAGGTTGCTGTTAAAAGACTGGTAAAAAAATGTTGCTTTATCTAATATAACGATAAAGAAAATTCAAATCAAATCCAATTCAGTGCGAGTACAATTGGTATCTAATCATTTCTTAAACAAGCGTGGCTGTCTTTTCTTATATAAAAACTTATTTTTGCATTTAATGGCCTCCGTTTTCCTATCTTACTTAGATAAGTTATGTTTGATACATCTCGTAGGTAGAATTTAAACGTTGAAATACTTTTTAGGTAGACGTAAGTACACAAGACAGTCATAGCACTCTGACAGTGCCGATTTTTCTTCGGGAAAGGTTTTATGGGTGAAAGCGACATGTCGTACCGATATCATGATTTGTTTGCTGTTCGCCGTAAGAGGAAGATCGAACGTGAATTTACGAGCGGTAGACCCGAAAGCCTCGAAAAAAAAGTATAGTGAACGACAAATAGGCGTATTTTATCCGCTTATCTCTTGTCAGTGCTATTCAGCGCATCGTGATACATCATGTCGAGTAGTATTAATTTATGCCTAAATTTCAATCAAAAACGACTGACACTATAAACTATACATGACAAAAAGTTCCATCTATATGCAAATGTCAATTCCTAAAATTTCGAAGGGAGTTTAATATACTATATTTATATGCGACAGCTAATCTAATTGTAAATAAACCTACATGACAGAACTATCGTTATATTTTTTCTTTTTTAATGTACTGATCATAACTATGAACGTGTATTTTTTATAAGTATAACTTTCAAGGTATTCAACGAGAACATAAGCAAGCAAAATAATTTCAACTTTTCGTGATAAATACTATAATTTAATCTATATTATATTATAAATATTTCTCAATGATTTTACAATGAAATGTTACGAGTACTCCGGTTACATTCTAATTAAAACAATGAGTTTTAAAGATATATGGCTTCTACGTGCAAAATGCTATTAAATACTCGCAATTTCATCAATTTATTCCTTTTTCAATATCTCCATGACGTTAATGCAGCGTATAATATATTCGTCAAATTATTCCTGCGTACAAAGTGGCGCGTACCAATATAAATTTCAATAATGGAATCCTGATGCACCTGGTTGCATTATTCTCTTTGCGATTAAGTCAATGATTATTATAATACTTCTGTAGAATATATTTAATATCTAATGTACATACGACCGATGATATTCTTTTAGATGTATGGGACATTCCGTCATGTAATAGTCACTTTTAAAATATTAAGTTTTCATAATAAATAATACTAATAATTTTTTTTCATAATTAATAATACTAATTTCAATTTATACAGACGTATGAAATAATTAAGTGTATGATATACGAAATTTTATCTACATAATCATAAAAACAACCCCAATCTATTAAACCAAACTTAAATGCAACCTTAGTAACCTTAGTAAATTAGTAGCCTAGTAACCTTAATGGTTGGGGAGACCTTAAATAAATTCATTTAAAAAAAAGTCAGTATCGTCGGAGTCTCTTTTATTTTATTACTTAATAACACTTGACTGCCGACATGGCGATACCGTTGAGGAATATTCATGTAGCCATGAATGCATGCATGTCCAGGAGTCAGAATGATCACCCGCAAGCGACTATGCTTCTTATCAAAGAGGAACATGTTTGTACTTATCTAAAACCCCTCCAGCATATCGAGAAAGGTAAACGAAACTCCTACGTGAAATTCAGGTCAACCTCGTACACCGAAATGAAATTTAGACGTTTGAAACTGACTAGGCGAGCGTACAATAACAGAACATTCAAAGATTTGACAGTCGATCGATAGTCGAAATTCGAAGAAGTGAAGGAGTCATTAAAATTAAGATTCATTTCTGCTCTGGATTGTTATGTTGTTGATTTTGCAAATTCAGTTACCAATATTATCTGATTCTTACACAATTGTTTCTTCAATGACAAAATATTTGTTGTTAAAACACATAAGTAGACTGCGGATTTTTATGCAAAATAAAATCTTTGCGACCGTGCCTACAAAAATTGAACCTAAATAGGAATTTATTTTATTCGGCAAATATTATAACATGAACTTTATTTTCAATCTTTTTTATATTCTTGCATATTGTTTGCATTTTGTAGTTTCTTGCACATTCAAATTTCCTATAAATCCATTAAGATCCGCAGTCTACACATAAGTAGTACTATCTTTAAGCAGGTTTTCAAAACAATAATTGAACCTGGTAATGAATTGAACAAAATTGTTGAAGTTTGAGTAGACCGGTCAATTTATTAATGTATAATGCATGAGAGTTGCAAACAGAAACAGATTTCATCGTTCGAACAGTATACTTTACAAAATGTTTCATTGCTACAATTTAAAGTAAAATTGCAATAGAAGTCGCAATCCTTAAAGTCCATAAACCGTTATACAGCTTTGTTTGAACTCAGAGATCATAATTGTGATAACGTAGTTACAGAATAAAATTGTTATTTAATCCTAAAGGTGTCAAAACTCTATCTTGGCGGGTGAAATTGAATATTCTTCTAGAAGGAAACTAACTTATAATACGGTTTGGTCCAGTCCCTCTATTGTAAACAGGGAACTCATACAAAGTTCTGTGAAAGGAAATACGAGATCGAACGAAATGTAAGTGAAGAAAGTTATTGTTAGTATTCGATAGACAACCATTTCCATTCTTCCGAGTATTTCGCAGAGGGTTCCGCAACCTTGGAGCACGAAATATACGAGTTTGTTTTTCAAACTTTGTCTCCTTAGGAAAAGATGGGTGGTTCTCGCAGTGTCATTCTTTCAAAATTAACATTAACTAGGGCAATTCGTTATGCGAATTTCGACGTTTGCTATTATTCCCTTTGCAAACGCCCGTGTAACTAGCCATTGCATGAAACATAACTACATTATTAAATATTCGATCTGTTTATATTTGAAATTTACCCAGAATCTTGACATGCGATATAAACTTTTCTAAAATTAAAATAATAACTTAAAATAGATGAATATAAGTGTATGTATGTAAATGATTATATGTGTATCTTAACTTCATTTTTTAAATCGATTAAACAAATTGTTGACGTATGAACAACAATTGTGCCAATTGTGCGACAATGTACAATTTCTTGTCTTAACTGAAACTTATTTATAACCTTTATCTGCCTCATTTAACAGAATAACGACTTCTTTCTGCGCACTCGATGCAAGAATGGTATCTTACTCGACAGAAATGGAGTAGTGTTTCAGTTAAGTAATTTCAAGCATAAATCTCTTTTTTAAATGAGAAACATTTCCCTCGGATAAGTGGAAGTTATTAACGAACACTGGCTGGGTTTCACTTTACGAGCGACAGTAGATTCGACGATCTCAAAAGGTTTCTGAAGAAAGCCATCGAGTGTTTGCCATCTGGGAAATTGAAGTACTTATTAAGGCTATCCTTTCAGTTTTTAACGGATATGCAATGTCGTTACGGAATAGCGATTCCGTTTTCGACAAACATTTTCCAAAGATAGAGTTGACTATTCACATTAAGGGACCGTTATCGTACGCGTGAAAGAAAAACAGATATTTTTGTAAGAATTTTTATTTCACATAACACTCATAAAGTGGCGATATTTTATGCGTACTAGTAGGCATACAAAACTATATTTCAATAATCTGTTATTTATCCAATTCTCAGTTGCTAAAAGGTATTCTGAAAATGATATAATAAACTTGTGGTAACAAAATTATTGTACCACAAAGTTCCATGCATCATCTTCCAAATATCTGGAAAGAATTAATAAATATCTATAAATTAAATGATTTATAAAATTTTATTCTAATTAGCATATCTTATTTGTTTGTACAGCCAACACTAGCCAGTACGCCCATTACGTTTTCAACACCCTGGACCAGGATCATAGTGGTATCCTAAGTTTTGAGGTAAGTTCCTTATCCCCATTACTGAAATAAATTTTAAGTGTCAGTGATGAAATTTCAAGTTAACTTATTGTTAGTCAATTTAAATTAAATTCTCTTGGAATTGTGCAATAAGTAAATAAGCGAGATTTGATTAATAAGTTTCATACTTCTAACAACATTTTATGTAAGCTTTTATTATTTTATTTAAAGTTAAGCATTATACCTTCAGGATGTTATGAAATAATGCTATTCTCCGTCCTCTATTCATCGTAAAGCATTGCCAACATCGAACAATTAAGCAGTCCCTCGTTTCAGTAGACAAGTATGCTGCAGACAAATATCCGATGCAGATTAACGCTAATTACCAGGTAGGATGCCGATAACGAGCAGAACAGATCTAGATAAGTTTTCCAATCAATAGCCGAGGCCAATCAATCCATGATTCGTGGTTAATTTGATGATCGATATAGTGCATACTCGTCTCCCCGTGTTTACGATTTTCACCGCAGCGCCGCGCCGTGAAATAAGAAAAGTAGAGGAATCGTCGGGGGATAATTACCAACTAACACAATTATCTCTGGTGGCTTCGGGCTGAAAATGTACTTTGTGTAATTAGCCCGTGAGTTACTTTAAACTCGCATATTACCGCGTCTCTCTCTCTCTCTCTCTCTCTCTCTCTCTCTCTCTCTCTCTCTCTCTCTCTCTCTTTCCTTCTCTCTCTGCGGCGTACATTTTCCCTCGTTCGTTCTTCTCCTCTTCTTTTGTGCGCGATAAAGTTCATACGTTCGCCTTTGACGCCCTCGCCAGTTTAATTAAGTCCTTCTATGAGATTCCTATAAGCGAGCGTGTTTGTGGAATAGTATACATCAACGTTAAAATATGATCTTCCGTTTTTCAGCAAAGTTAAGATTTTCAATGGTAGAGGTGCTCGAGGCTTTTACGCACCGGTACTTCGTGGTTGATACTAACAAACCGTGTAAGCGAGACTTCAAGATTCAAACGACAGCCCGTGCCGCGTCACTGTTTCGTAGTTTTAAAGTTAAGATTTTTACTGTCTTTCTGTAACTTGACGTTCAGGTCAAATATTATCGTGTAAGTTCCGATAAGTGTAAGTTCATTAAATACATGGTGGCCTCTGATATTTACTTGTATAATGATAGAATGACGAGATTAGAGTTTATGGTTGGTCGTAATTACAGTACGTCATACACCGGGTTAGCTTTCAAAGGGCTTCATATTGGAAGTATACGAAATTATTCATGACTCGCAGGTCTCTCTAACGTATACTATAAACTGTTTTCACGTTATTATAGTTAATCACACGATTATTCAAATGTAAAAATAGCTCTTACCCCCTCTCGATAGTCTGTAATGTATAATCAACAAGATCAACATTTTTTTACTAGATGATTCAAACTAACAAGGGTGGCTATCGATTTTAAAAACTCAAGAAATTTTAAAACTTGGCTTGAGCTTCAAGCTATCCAACTGTAATAGGAAACCATTTCTGTTTGGCGTTGAAAAATATCTCAAGAGGGTGAAACTATCCTTGGAAGAAATCAGGAACTCTTTTTAACGAAATAGCTTTAGAGTGATAAGAGAAATATACAGAAAATTACAGGAAAAATGGTTCGATTCCTTTTCTAAGTTAAGTCATTCCTTTTCTGTTTAAACAATTGCTTGTTTAACGAATTAGTGTTTAAACACATCAAACGAATTTTATTTGCCTCAGTTTATAAACTCTAAAGCCCAACGCAATTTTCATTTTTATTTCTTTTATGTATCTAACTATTCGAAAGTTATTTAGGAAAAAATAACTTGCTCTTTTTCAAGAAATAGTTTCATCCCCTTAAAATGTTTCCTAGATTCAGAAGAAGATAATTTTCTTTTATACATCTTATCACTTTAAACTTATTTAGGAAGAACAAAAAACCGTGGCGTGTTTCAAGGGACAGTTTCATTCGCTTGGAGTGTTTTTCAAATCCAGAAAAAAAAATAGTTTTGTGTTAGCGTTGGACAGCTTTAGGTTCGGACCGGCTTTCAAAATTCCTGGAATGTTCGAGTTTGATAACCTCCCTTGTAAGAAGATTACGGAGAATTTTCGTCTAAACGGTTCTAATGCTGATGAACGGAAGATTTCCCTCTCCAATTATGTACGTTATCTGGGAGGTGACCCTCTATTAGCCCAGAAACACTTTTACGTAGCATAAGCCCCTATCAAGTTCAGTCGCATTACTAGCTCACCCTGAAGGTCTGCAAACGCGAGAAGATTACCGTTTCCCCTTTACAGCATCATACTTTTGGCCGAGCGATTTTCATCTTACGACAACACGACTTCTCCATCTTCAGCTCTTCCTCGCTGTCTTGTGCTTTCCTGGCGTGAAACTTGTATCCTTCTATGGACAACGAGGAAGACATAGAACGACTTTGAACTTAATCGTATTACTGAGCCAAGCTTAAACACTGCTGTTCTGCCTGAATCTTAGCACATTTTTTTGCGGCACCCTTCTTGATCGAGTAAACATTGCTCGTAGAGATATCATGAGCATAAAATTGAATCATGAGATGCTGCAGAAAATTAGGATCACGTCTTATACATCTTGATATTCCAAATTTTAAAAACTCCACTGTCTGTATTTGAAAACTAGGGATGGATAAACCTGTAACTGGCATATAAAATAAACCAAGTCCGGGAGAAGGATTACTGCATCAAAACCAATATCAGTCAAAGAGATTGGAAGTGTCCTCGCAATTCAATTAGTTTTTACTTTTTAGCAACGTCAGTTGATAGTATAAAAGGTTTTCCCCAAGAGGCTTTAGGATTTTGTTTTTTAATAACAAAATGCGCCTGTCAACATTGTCGTAGTGGATCACGCGAGCTTTCAATTAAAATGAACAAATCGGATGTATTCCATGCAATATTTATTTGGCATGTATTGTATTACTAAACAACATTTATTTTGCAAACAGACAGCAAATGAAACAGTATTAAGTATTCTATTCCAACATCGTTTCACACAATCGTTGAAAATGAAGGTTTTTTTTTTAATATTCGTCTGCCTTCACTGATTATCATCATGGAAGTCGTTCCTCCATTTCTAAAAAAATCCACTTTTCATCCTATCTAGTTAAGTCACCTCTCAAGTTCGTTGATGTCTTTTTACTCTTTTTTTTTTACGTCACAGGATCCAATTTGCCACGCCAACAGCACTGACGCTCTGACTCCAGGATTTTGTTTAATCATGATAAAATACACCTGCCATCGTTGTTGTGTTGAGACGCTTAATGGGTATAATTATAATTATGATTATTATATAAAATATATTCCATGCCATTTGTGTTTTATCAAGAAATAAAATCCTAAAGCCCCTTTTGAAAACTCATTATATCCCACCTTTAGAGTTTCAATCCTTTATGCCCAATTGAAATCATGTTCGATGTTCCGTAACCGTTGGCGTAATCGCCACAGCCTAAATCAACAATCGCTATTTATTCCGAGCATCGCTGTTTGCAGTTGAGACTGATGTAAACGCACTCCTCTGTTTGCGAAAGAGGAATTCCTACCTTGGCGTTATAATGCTTACTTGCACTACAAACCTATAGCTTATTTACAAACAAGTTACCGCATACAGCAGTGTTAAAATCGAAAATTAATACCCACGTCGCACTCATCGTTGAATAAGCATATATCGATAAAAATATTAACATTACACGATAGAATAATACAAGTACTGAAAAATAATGAAACATTAAGGATTGAGAATTCTCAAACTACAAGGTGCAATAAAAAAGAAATTCGGGAATTTCTAAAATATTCAGAAACAATAGATTCCAAGACGATACAATCATTAAATGTACCGTATGACGTTGCAGCATATGAATTGCAACGTTTTCTGATCGGCTGCTCGAGGACTAAAGCTATCCACAATTTAATTGTTGAGCATCTGTGGCTAATTGAATCGACAACAAGGTACATTCTCCGTCGACTATTTCAAAGTATAAAACGCTGACGTAACTGGATTTGCCGTAATTGAAGCGTTTACTAATCCAATTTGTCCCATGAACATGAACTCTAAAGTGCTTTCGGCCGTGTCGTATACACGCCACGACTCGTACTGCAGCCCGTCATTATTAATTCTTTTTGCAATTTTCAATTACCCTGTATTCGACCGAAGATGTCGATGCCATTAGTGTTAGCTCGAGCATACTGTGCCCACGATGTCGAATAGTACGCTACAAATTGCTCCGTTTAGCTTCGTGCACGAAAACAATTTATTCATAACCGAACAGACTCTCCACCTTAACTCTCGTTCGCGGCAGATCGTTAGTAACCATTCAGGAGACTGGAGAAAAATTGTAACATGGCTGTTGTGGTACGGTATACCAGACCTCGAAAGTAAACTTGGTAAATACAATCGATGTACCGTATTTTGCAAGAGGCCTTTACGAACCTTACCTAAGAGGTCGTCACACAGTTATATAATATGCCGTCGATTTCAAAGGTAATTCAAAAGAAGCTTAAGGATTTTGTTTTTCATCAAACACGAATGGTATGAGGTGTATCTGGGTTTTAAATTTAAAATAAAAGTACGTCTGATTACACTTGAAAGTAAAAAATTATTTCTATGACTAACCTGACAGGCGTGGTTTCGTTATTAATATTAATACGGTTTTTTCATAAAATTGTTTTTGAATGTGAATAACTAGAAATAATCGTTGACAAAATATTTCATCAGAAATGAATATCAATAAAAAATATATACATGTGTACAGATCAGTACCTTTTTTACTCAGAATTCTTCTAACACTTACAAAAGAAACATATATGCATATGTATCTATTATACATATATATAATATAATACATGTATGATCCTCTAACGTTTCTCTATTGTATTGAAATAGGACAAACAGGTCAGCTATTTAAAACGCGACCTTTTTTGTTTACCGGCGAAACCCTGGTGTTCCTATTGTTGTGAACGCTGGCGACATTGTGTTAAAACAACAAAGGAATGCGGTAAAAATGTTTGGGAATCAATACTAAACTGTTAGGGAGTACTTATTGCAAGAGGAACTCGAGGTAACATGGGCATAGACGAATTTTTGCTATAAACTAGAAAAGGAAAATGACTTGGAAATTTTTAATAAGAAATGATCGAAGCTCGAAGAAAAAGTCACTCTTTACAAAATATTCGTCTGCCTTCACTGATTATCATCATGGAAGTCGTTCCTCCATTTCTAAAAAAATCCACTTTTCATCCTATCTAGTTAAGTTACCTCTCAAGTTCGTTGATGTCTTTTTACTCTTTTTTTTTTACGTCACAGGATCCAATTTGCCACGCCAACAGCACTGACGCTCTGACGAACAGAACTTTTTGATCTATGGGAGAATCATTAACCATCCGGGGGCAACATACACCTTAATGCAGATGTCCTTTAAAACTGAGAAAAAATTATTCTAGTTCCTCTAATCATAAAAGGCATCTTAATTTGTTTTTTCTGTCATGAAAATTGTTTGTTGTGCGTATTATACTCCAAAGTTAATTTTATTAAACGTTAACATTTCTCACAATTTTTACCAAAAATAGAATGTACAAGCAACAAATGTACTTTGCCACAGTCAAAAGAACAAAAACTGTAAATCTTAGAACTCTCATCTAACGATATTCACTACCGTGCGATGAATTTTTTTTTGTGACGAATTAATTAAAGTCTGAGTAGTTACGAAAGTTCCTGGAAAGACGAATTTAATTTTTATCTCCAGTGGACCCCTTATCTTAATTGAAATTTCATCGAGTGGAGAAACTGCCTCGGTTCTCTTCAAAATATAGACAGAATTAATGAGCACCTTTCTTCCGCGAGTGCATTTCAAAGTGTACCGGAGAATATATATATGGAATACACGGAAGTTATTTATGTGCCGTCGTAAACGTTCCCTTCCTACGGAAATTCAAATACGTATGAGTGGTACAATAGAACAGACGCGAAAGTTGCGAACTGGTCTCCTTCTTGCGCTGCTGAAAGTTCTCCTCGAATTTCCATAATAATTGTTCTATCAGGATTGGAAATAGTTCACAAGCTTCAATCGTTTTACGATACACCATGTGGAACGTATCCAACTATATTCTATGTGGGTCATTCCACGACAAATCGATCACTTTTTGTGGTCGATGCCAAGGATTGTATTCAAATTGAAATATCATGTAGTTCGCGTAAATTGAGAGTATGCTGTATATACTAAAATCGTGGTTAGGGGATACGGAGAAGAGTGATTAAGCTATCATTTGACTGGTTTCGAATTTGGCGCAGAAGCATATGGCGTTACTGCATCAGTTTTCCAGACTTATAAGGAGAATTGCTTTTTCCCGAGCCAAAAAACGATTTCCTTATTGTTTTTCATTGAAAAAAATGCAAGATTTTAATTTGAAATTTTATACATGCATTTATTACTACATTTTATTACGATGTACAAGTTTGTATTGAACGACTTTCCCAAAAATGTAAATGTTACAACATGTTGAACGTGACGTCACAAAACGAACATTAGTCCCTGGTTGACATGATTTCTACCGTTCAAACAAACTAAAATAAAACAATCACGACATCGATCACCGAAAGTGATCAATTTGTCGTGGAATGACCCATGTACAATTGACGAATTCGGTTCGTTCTTGTACGCGTATATTTTCATTCTGAACCGAGTTTCCAGCTTGCGACTTGGCCAACTGGAATTAGAGTTTATTACCCGTGAGAAAAGATATTATTTGATGTTACCGTTGGACAGACACTTATTGTACGATTAAATGGGCTTTTCGCGTGATCTCTCTGGTTTCATGTAATTCCGTGTTCGCGTGAAGAAAAATTGAATTTAACGAAAATGGTGTGGTGTCTGTTGCAACAGAAAATTCTCTACTGCGCTTATTTGTTATCTCAAAAATAAAATAACAACATTCAGTTAGTCTCTGCAGAGTATTGCAAGGACAATTAATCATTATCCTTGGAATAATCGTTCCAACCGCGACATCTGCACCTCTAAATCAAACAATGTTTTCCTCTGACACACTGTATATAACGATAATTCTATGAAGAAGATGGTAAATATTTGTACGAAGATGAAACTGCTACTGCTGAGAGAACCAATTTCGTTTTTATTTTCCAGGATTTTGTTACCGGCCTCAGCATACTATCCCGTGGTTCCATTGACGAAAAACTACGTTGGACATTTTCTCTCTACGACATCAATGGCGACGGCTGTATCACGAGAGAAGAAATGACGGACATCGTGACAGCTGTATATGAACTGATGGGGAAATTTGCTGATCCAAATTTGGACCACCAGGGCGTACGTGAAAAAGTAGACCGTATGTTCCAGGTATGAATTTTTCATTTTTTTACTTCCACGGGGAGGAACTTTAAAGTGAAAGCTTAAATTCGGTAAAATTACTTTAGCGATAGAAAACTAGCCTCCTGTTCGTCGTAATCATCGTAATCTTAATTAGGATTCAAAGTATTTGAACAAGTTAGAACCCGTTTAGAAGAATGTATTTTCATTTAGATTTCGATTCTTTTCTGTATCTGTGAAAATATGAATTTGAACTATCGATAAGAAGTTCTCGCGAGTGCTGATAGCCTTACTCGTTCATTTCAACGAAGGAAAACGAGTGCCTGCTTGTAAAGCATCGACCCAACTTCAATGATACAAGAGAAATTCTCCTTTTAGCGGTTGTCACATTGTTAGCTGCGAATGACAGCGTCTGCAAGGATGTACTCGTACCCTTTGTTAGCTTTCTTCTGCGTTGAATAAAGGGCGACGCAATTCGTTCTATAGTGACAATTTGTGCAAACACTTTAAACGAGTTCCTGTTATTCTACATCTTAGGGATATTTAGCTTTTGCACGTGGCGTGTCAAATAAAAACATGAAGAATCCTTTTTATTAAGGGAGCAGTGTTTTTTTGAACGAATTTTGAGCAATCCTCATGATTTTTTTGTTGGTAGTTGAAATGCTTGACATAAATTTCGACATTTAGTACGTTTATTTATGGATGTATGGACAAGATTTGTTCGATTTAAAATTGCCTTACTTCATTTGTTTAGATGATAACTTCTAACTTTGTTCCGTAACTTGGTCCCTAACTTTGTCAATTTTCCGAATTCGATAAAACTCTCTGGGTGATACATTTTTCAAGGTCTACATTTTGAGAAAATGCCAAGGAAGTAGATCTTTTGAAAGTTGTAAAGTGAAATACCTTAGGTAGACATTTTCATTAAGAAATATTGACACTGAAACTTTATACATAAAAGATTGACATACTTCTTAAACATTACTTGTAGAATCTCTATTATTTAAGAAGATAGACTCACATCACTGCCATATCGAACTACTCGTATATCAAATCCGAGGTCATTGTTGTTGGAATCAGTCGAGAAACTACATACGACTATGTCAAGTGTAGATTGACTATGTACAAATCATATTGGAGAGTGACTGGGGACTGAAAATGAATTATTCAAAGACATTTTGCCTGTTACCTCGTTAACCCTCGTCGGTGCTCCTGCTACCCAAGTTTTTCATAACGAGTGTGCCAATTTTCTTTAGCGCCCAAAGTGATGCAAGTTTGGCAATTGCAGAGAGTTTCCACACCCGCGGTTTCTAGGCATTACGTGCGAGAAAGTTCAGAAATTTTTAAGGGAAAGCCCACGGGGTACGAATCCGGGCACACGTGGGTCATCGGGCAATTCGTTATAGTCGCAAAGTAAACGGTACTGGCCTCGTTACACAAAATTGCACGCCATGTCAACAATTTATAAAAGAAAGTCTTGTCATACCAACCAGGAACTATGAAGCCATTTTAAAGATAACTGTTGTAACATACATAACATAGTGTCTCTAACATACTTTCAAAAGTATAAGATGAGTGATGCATTAAATTTACATTAAACAATGCAATGTTAAACAATTTTCTGCGAGCTAAATAAACTTCCAACTTACGTCATAATTAAAGCCTACAATATATAAATATCGTGATTGTTTATAGAAGAAATGCATTTTTCGAGTTGTATCACATATTAATGAATAATGAATGATTATTTTTGCTAGCATAAATCAAAGATCTATCTCGGTGCGCCTAACAAAGAAGATAAACTTTATTAAAGGGAAGGTGAAAAGCATGAAATTTAAATGTATTCAAATAAGTTTCTGATTTTCATCAAATGGAGCGCGTATAAAGGGTGGGCGGAATACGTAGCGCAACCAAAAAGGGGATGAGTCGCTACGTAACAATAAATCGATGATATGGAATAAAATTGTTTCGTACAGGACTTCGTTTCCGAGAAAATTGTTTTTGAAAATTCATGGCCGGTACTTCTATTTTGTTGTGTTCATAAGTATCGACTGCGGTGTGATGTTATCTCTTTTAATTGATTCGCATTAGTTACACAGAATAATAAGGTCGAGGGAAACAGTTATTATTTCTGAAATTAATATTAATAAGCAGACCACGCAAGTTTATGCATTTATGGTAAATGGAAATGTGGAGAAATCTATGAAAATGTGCCCTAATGCAAAAATATATAAAATATCGACAATAATGTACACGTTGTACTGTTTAGAAGATGAGACATAGTTTCATTTAAGTTCGAAGTAGTTTTCTTATATCTATAATAAACATTAACTTGCATAAATATTCGCAGTCTATCAACCCTTGGACTTTTATTATGTTAAAGTACCAACCGTCAAGTTCTCAATTATAAATGTTAATGTTGGGGCCCGTTTGTTAAAAGAACAATGCCATCATCGAACCGACTGAGGAATTACAGTAATGCCTGCCATAAAATGACCAAATCGGGACTGCCAGTTCAGTTGAAAACGGGTTAGATAGCGATTCCTATCTCGCACCTGGTTTGAATTCGCACGTACCGTTCGAAGAGGAGGGTAAATGAGATTCAACGTCAAGAAAGTGCGATGTAGAACAACAGCAAGCGAGTTTCGTATTACGTACGTTGAATAAATGGAAATTTGATCTCGCAAATGTAACTTAACTCGTGAGTCTCATTACTGTCCAACGTCGCAATTGTACAGTATAGTATTTTAGCAGTTCTAGTTTTAATGAATTATCCATACTACAATTTTCTATGAATGAAACCTTTTGCAAGGGTTTAGCGTTGCATATGATTTAATAACATAACTAATATTAAATAAAAATAAAAATGTATCTATTAGTCTTTTCATGACTAAATACAACATTTTAAAAGACAATGTATATAATACATATATAATTGATATTTATGGTAAATGGAAATGTGGAGAAATCTATGAAAATGTGCACTAATGCAAAAATATATAAAATATCGACAATAATGTACAAGTTATACTGTTTAGAAGATGAGACATACTTTAACTAAATTTTGAACTAGTTTTGAACTTTGACTAAATTTTGAATAAGTCAGCCTACGATAACCATAATAATACTATTATATTTATTTTTGTATACAGTATCTCGTATAACATTTTACAGATTTACATGCGTTAAAGTGTAAAGATAAACGTATTCACGAAAAGGTGAACGTAAATCAATGATTCCAATAACGAGCGAGCAAAATTTAATTTCTCATTGAAAGTCCGTTCGACGCCTTCATTTCGTTTGTGCTCTTCTCTGTCTTTCTCATAACAAATTTTCAACAAAAGGCAATAAAAGCATCACGAGGCGAGGTGGAGCAATCGGTGGCTCAATCGATGCTAATTAATCTGGGGGGAAAGCGGATGTAATTGATGCAACCTATAGCGCACGCAATTCGTTATCCCATATAGACTTTTAATTAAAAGCCAGTATTTCATAGACCGTGGCGAAGGGGTTGCGATAAAATCAGTCCCATTGTTTCTGAAAACCGTCTACTAAATTATTGAGAACTCGTCATGTCTATGTGCGTAGACACATGTGCAGTTCGTATAGCATTTAAAAACAAGGTCAAATAGATTCAATTATGCATGAATAATTTTGAAACTGTTATCTCTATCGGCAGGAAATCGAAGTGCTTGAAATCGCACCGTTTCATTCTGCGTGCTCCAACTTTTTCTCTTTGAACTTTCTAGTATCCAAATAGAAATTTCATAATATTTTAATTATATTTTAACTATTTTATCCAATTTGGTAATACTTTGGCTTTAAATGGTGTATAGCAATAATTCAGTATTGTCAGTCTATTATAAGAAATGGTGAACGCATTTTACTGATAATGATTATTATATGAAAAATGAAGAAAAAATTGAAAAAAAGCACCTATGAACGTTAAATGAACAGTGCATTTTCACCGTGTGTGGGTTTATGGCACATCAATTGCCTCTGGGAGAGGTAGAATTGGACTGTCTTCCTGGGAAAGTTGGCTGACATTTTCGAGCCAGCCTCGAGCCTTTAGGAAACATGAACAAACAATGGAAGCGAGAATGGTTGTCTCAAAAACGGCATTGTCACTTGTTGCCCGCAGCGTAAACGCAGTCAAGTGCCCTTAAGTAAATCTTAACACCCGGGTCACTTACCTAGGTGCCTACATCAATTTAAAGACTCCCAGTTCATTAAAAAAGAATTCCTCTTTGTGTAGTAAGTAATATCTTTGGTGCAAAGTGCAATAGTATTGACTTTCACTCCGAATCTGATAGTTGAACTCATCGATAAGTCTTTTGTGGTATATCCTACCACAAAGAGTATATATATCAGTTGATTTTTAAGTGAAAATATGTAAAAATCTACCAAATTTTCAAAAATTCGTAGCTTATAACTTTTGCAATAATACAACGATTCACAAACACTTCTGCTATGATCATTTTTCTCAAATTCTTTTTAAATATTTCAATACGACTCTGTCTTTTTCAATTTCAGTTAAATATTACCTTCCTACTATACTTAACAGTGTTTATTATTGAACCACATATATTGGTTTTGAGGCCACGTACTCCATTGTGCGAGGCAAGAATTTCCGTGGTAAGAAGTATTGTAAATATATATACATATAAAGAAATAAAGAAAGATATTTGCACCTGTTGCAGAAAATGGACGGAAACAAGGATGGAGTAGTGACGCTGTCCGAATTTTTGGAAGCTTGCCGCGCGGATCCGGATATTTCAACGAGTATGACAGCTTTGGACACGGCCTTCTGACACTCGGCACGATCACGATACACTCCATGGACCTGAAGGGATTTGTCGATTTGTGAATAAATCGCTCAACGTTGTTCCGTATCTCCTGGAACGGGGTGGGGAAGAACTTCTCCCAAATTGATTAGAAAAATCTTCGAGCGATAGGGGGATTCGCATCAGCACCAGCGAATTTCGAGGATTGACGCGTCACGAGAGAAATCGTTATAGATATTTTTCCTATATCTTGTTTAACACGATCGTCATTGAAAGATCCAACGGGCGTAACGACTCGCCGAAATATCGCTTTCATCGGGGCGGTTTCACATCGAACGACAAGACGAACGGCTCCCTCTAAATCAAAGGTCGCATGAAATGGTCGTGAGAATAGTGATCATCCTTTCGAGAATTTCTAGTTGTAGTCTCAGTATGCGTATCGCTAGACAAGAAAGGACTAGACGAGAGAGGATTAACATATAACAAAATGATAAAAAAAAAAGAACAAGAAAACCGATACTTCGTGGCTGTTAGTTGTCGCGAATGGAAATTGTTATGGACTGTTTCCAGTAGTTCGTTTTTAAGGAACGCGCGCTACAAACGATGAATGAACACGCAGATTTAGGAAAAGCTATTAATAGTAACAAAAAAAAAAACACACACACACAATTCCTAACGACGATGAGGTTAATGAAACTTTAATAGGTGGAAGTTGGTGTTTAATGTAAGAAGACAGATCGTATTCCCGTAGCACAGTGCGTCTTAAGGGAAAGAGAGGAACATTTTTGCGAAATAGCTTGTTAGGATTTCCAAGTACCAAAGAGCACGCCACCGAGACTCGACGTCCGAACTGAACGCGGCATTGTTTGTGCCAAAGGAATCGCTGTACCAAGAAAGAAACGAGAAGCACAGATATCTCGACACATCGTTTGTATAAAATTAATAATTGAGCTTAGCTTCGCCCAGTTACGTTTCTTTTTTTCGCTTAAAAGAAACGACATTTCAACGAAAACCCGTTCTCATTGAGTCTTGATACCAAGCGGCAAGCATGCACGGTATTAGAGCATGGATTCTTGAATGCTCGCGTACCAATAATAACGTAGCCTAGTTTTTTACAATAACCATATTTTTTACGATGCTTATATTTGCCGCGTTAAAGCGTAGTGCTCGAAGTGTGTTTAATTGAGACTATTCGTCAACGTAAGTTTTAATAACGTAGCGAAACGCAATCGAGGTAATTGTAATTATAGTCTCGTGGTGACAGAGTCTTAAACTTTTTTCTCTGTTTCTGTTTGCGATACCGCAAGGTTGCAAAATTATGCATCAGGTATCGTCTGACCGCGTCCAACGAACGCGGTTAACCCGAACTTAATTCGCTTTCCAAAACATGTGTATCTGAAATCGTCAGAAATATCAGCTCCAGACTTTAATTCTGTATTTTCGAAACGATTGTAACTTGGCGTTTGGTTTTCAGTTTGCGCGAGAAGATATTAACGTGCGGAGATACCATCTTCGCGCGAGAAGAGTACTATAAGCCACGCCCTGTCTGTCTCCGCACGCGCCATATAGCTGTGAGACAAAGTAATCATTGCCATCATCTTGATTTAAAACAAATAATGATTGACGAAATATTAAAAACAGTACATCTTTTATAATTTATTCAATAATTCTTACGTTTTCCTCCAAAAAATACTCAAGTTGCGTCACATAAAATCAATTGTAGGTACACGAAGTTGTACGAATACGTACAATATAGGTCGTACGAGAAAAAGTAATCATTGTTGACTTTAAAATTCAAATGATTGGTTCAAATATGCTATTTAAAAAGATGGTGGCTGTGACGCATCCCACGAAACGTGGCTTGTAGTACCTTTCTCGCGCGAAAATAGTAGGTCACTTATGCGACGCAAATGACTTTCTTTGAGCGACGCAGGTTAAAACGGGTAGCCGTAAATCTCGTACGATTTCTGATGATAATAAAAAGGAGAATCGGACGTGCTGACAGATGAAAGCACGAAAAATATTAGAAAAGTTATGAGCAGCGTGAATGCGCGAAAAGATGTTAGTATGAGACGTAGAAAGTATATCGTAAATCCCGCTGGAACAGCTGGCCATGTTGAGCAGGACTCATTGTTTCTAGTACGTAAGCGAGTAGACTAAGCGACATAATAAAAGTATTTATTTTTGTGACAGGTAAACGAATTATTAACCACGGTAAGATATTAGCTCGTAAAGACTGTGTGCTGCTAAAGAAAGAGAGAACGGAACGGGCAAGTATTAGAAACAACAATGAATGAAGGAAAAGACGCGTGAAAGCTCTGTTGATTTCTCATTCCAACGATCTTTGATCAGGAATACTAGATACCGAATGTTATTGTAATTGCCAACGTTTTGCGGTGAATGGACCAAAATATCAGGTGATCACGACTGTCGATATACAGGGTGTCTCACGAAATATAGTATCCTACAGAGTAGGGGATGATTCCGCGTGAAGAAATAAATCAGAGATAGAGACAAAAGCTTTGCAGTTTCAAAAACAAGCATTAATTTATTTCAGAATTCTCGATTCCCCGATTTGAGGCATCATCGCTGTTTGTAAATATTATAATTAAATTTCATTTTTAAACAATTGACAGGATTGAATGGTACTACCTAAGGCAAAAATTTGTTTATATATAATTGAGAACTTGTAATTGTAACGTTTAGGTTATAAATTATTTAACGAAATTTCCATAGAATATTATTAATTATTTTCCAACGTGATAAATAAAATAACAATTAAATATAATTATAATATTTGCAAATATCTATCGAAAGTTGTTCGAATCTTTGAGACTGCAACTTTTGTATTTATTTCTAACAATTGCAAACCTTTGTATTGATAAATTGGAAATGTAAATTAAAATTTTTTCGTGTAACTTCATTTTCGTCAGAATCTGCTTTAAAAATTGATCAGGTATGTTAATTAGGGGAAACAAGATAAAAGCCAAAAATATTAAAGCATTTTTCGATATTTAATCGTTTTTCACTGTGCATCTATGTATATCCATTAAAACTTTATTATTATGGTAAACATTAATTATATTTGAAAGAAATTTGTAGTGACGAAACTATATTATTTTAAATCAATTCGTAAAAATTGGTTGTAGGATTCAATACAGTAAGTTGTGACATAAATTAACGCATGGAGTAAATAGATGCGTAAATTTAATGTTTGGTAAAATACACGCGTACCTGACAAATTTTCCAAATTTATTTGATCAAGAACGAAACCTTGCACAAAAAAGCTTCATTTTACATTTGCAATTTCTCTTTTAAGAATCACCCTATACGTGCTAGTTCTACATCTGACAGTATACACTACAGTGGTCGCTCTTTAACTGTCTTCTACCTTTTTAGCAATCGCGTAGTTATCTCCGCCACTTTAACTGCGTTTAACTCTCACTTTTCCTCGCTCTTGTTATCCATATACATAATCACAAGGAAAGTTCGGTAACTCAGAATATCAAGATAAATTTGAAATTCAGAAAAAATGTAGTTCAAACGATGCTAATAACGTGATTATATTTTCTTCTTCAATTATTATATAATTACGCTATATATTATATTCGATTATTATATAATTATTAGATGGAGAAACTAAACTTTATATTCATTCATTTGTAACTTTAGTTCAAGCATCATTTACAAAGTGCTGCACTTTCTTTATCAGAGGCGAACATACCTAACCACGCCCAGTGAAGCGCCTAACTTCACCATAACCGTGATGCCCCGATCCAGAGCCTGCGACAGTAAGAGTGGCACCACTGTATATTTAATCATTTTCCATCACTGCCTACTTCTGAATTAATGTAAATAAGGCGGATTATCTTGATAAACGGAACGAGACGCAATGCATCGAAAATTCGAGCCCATTATAGCATGATGAGTATTTCCAAAAGAAAGAACTACAAGATGCCGTAGAAAACACTTAAGCCGAATGTTAAATCATTCCAGAGACTACTAGTAAAATTTTCTTTTCCATCTTCCATAAAACGTTGCATCAGCCTCGCGTTTTCTTCTGATTGTGGGTTTCTTAAGTACTATACAGGAAGTCTCATTTAGTGTGAGCACCCTAAATATCTCCGTTACCTTGAACGGAAAAAATTGTTCTCATAGTATAAAAAACTTTTCAGTTTCAAAGGAGTGATATTACGATCTGTACAAAAAGTATCTCGAAGTCAAGATATTTATGATGGTCACCCTAAATGAGATAGCCTGTACACACGTAAACACGATGCACGTATAAACCAAAAAAAATGGAACTCAACGGAACAAGAAAGAACACGGAAATGGATATAGGCAGAATGGTATACCGAAATTCACTGCGTGCCATAACTATAAAAGCAGGTCAAAATTTTCAGATTTTATATGTTTCTAGTAAAATCTATAATGTTCCTTCACAGGCAGCGCTAGTGGCTTTCGAAGATTTTCGCAACCCTAAGTATACACAATCTACTCGATTTAATTTAATTTACATCGTAACGTGTGAGATCCATAATATTTGAGATGGTATCATAGTTATGGCGCACAGTGTAAATATTTCTCCGATTTTTAGCAGCGCCTACACTTGGGACATAAAATTTACGTATAAAATGAGGCAAACGTCGAGGGTTGCCTCGTATCAACTCGATCACTACCGCATGTCTTTGAAGTTACTGAAGTAAGTATAGAGAAGACAAAAGAACGAGGTGATTATGTTGTCTAGTGATTTTCAACCTCAACCAAATGTTAGATATAGATGTCAGAGAAAACACGTAAGGTATTTCTCGTTTAACGCCGTTAATCGAAAATACTATAGGTCTAAACATTAGACTCTAATGTGTTGATAGGCTTCCTTCTTGCTTTACGAAAAATGTCGAAGCAACTTTATTATTTTTTTAAAAGGAGATTAGACTAATCGTACGATCAAATTTCTTCGGATTGTACGTAATAGAAACTACGTAAATACTAATAGATGGTGAAAATAATAGTGCGATATTAGAAAGTCTATCGTTTGGAGAACACAATTCTAATACACAAGGTGTTTCTTAATGTCCGGAGAAATATTGCAAGGCTAAGTTTAGGATCGAAATTTGAAAAAGAGTTCGTATAAATGTATATTAGAGATTTTTTTATTTTTTAACAATATTTTTAGTGTACTGAGTATTCAAAATATCAACAGAAGTTCGGTGTTCGTTGACAGGTTGAACTCTTTCTAATAGTTTGATAAACCTTTACACTTTCTCTAAAAGAAAACGCAGAGAAAGACTGTAATCAACATTCCTTATTGTCTTTGGACCTCGAATCTATCCCTGCAATATTTTCCATATGTTAATGAACATTCTGTATATCAATCTCTCTTACACTCACTCGACATACATACGTGTCAATGTACATACACACACCAATGCACACAAACACGATCACATAACACAATAGCGAATTGTCTTACCTTACTTATAGTGTGTCTAGCGTCTTGCGTCTGTTAAGACCTTGTATGTATGATTAGAAACTATTACCGACCGATAATTATTACATTAATGTCGATCGTTGGCAGAAACTATAATATACGTATTTGACGTGTGTCCCGTAGAGCGCTTCGAAGAAAAGACGACAGATAAAGGAAAGAATCAGAAAGTATTTAAAAAAAATAAAAAAAAAAAGAAAATGAATTCCATGATGATACGAAATTAAATTGGCAATTTCGCACATGGCTGGCATTGATGTGTAATTTAGGATATACATCGTACAAATTCGATACCATATATCGTGAACAACTTATCAGATTATATAAATTTTACTTTCTCGAGCAATTTAACAAACAGAGTATTTTTCTGGTATTTTTCCTAAGGACCAGAATTCGTATTTTCTAAGGCGCAATGAAGAAAAAATATCGAGAACGTTTCTCTTAAGTTTATCGATGTAGACAATAAGAAAAAAATTAAAGGGTGACATTTGTATTTTATCGAAAGCGTAAGAATCGGTGTACACGTATCAATCGTGCGTCACGATTTTTACTTTGTAAAGGTTCAAAGAAAGTAGAGAAAGTGGTAGAACGTTTTCGCCGGTGTGGCTATCGAAACACTTGCAGCAACAATTTTCGAGAACACCTTACAGCGAGATCGTCAAACAGATCGTTGACTTATATTTGAAAATTGTTACCAAATGTTTTATAAATCTGTTTGACAGTCTTAAAATTTAATTCCAGCGTTTGCTCTATACAAACATAAGAAAATGTTAACAGCCTGATTCTTCACAGTTGATACTATCCGAGGCTTTGGTGGGATAAACCGTGTCGCCAGCATGGCAGCTAGCTTCTTCAGGGTTCCTCATAATGAATTTTTGAGAAAAAACATTTGCTATTATAAAAGATAAAAATGAAATAAAACCACGTTATTTGAAATAATTTTCGAATAATATCATTTCAAAATTGCCCAAGCTGAGTGAATACCTACCTACAAGTACAGTAATATCTATCAAGTTGAGACAAATTTCAGTGTGTCATTGAACCCCTGAAGAAGCTAATTGCAATCCGATGGAACGTCGGCATATCTTACTTATAGGACATAATGTACACCCGAAAGTCTCAGTTAGTATCGATCAAATGTTTCAAACGTTTGCTATTTCAAAATCACGATACTGGCCAGTCAGGTAATCACAGAAGGTATTTATGGAATACTGAACGAATGTTTGAAAAGCATCTACTTCTAATCATTTATTAAGCTTCACAAAAATGTTTCGTGAAATCAACGACTAAATAAAAAGCAAAAGGATCTCGATTCTTTTTGCGTTAATTGGTGTTTACGAATTTCGACGTTCAAACTTTATTCGCTCTACGTTGAGTAGGATAATACACGATCACGTGTATTGCTTCACGATATTTCCCAAAAGTGGAGGCACCAAACTTTTGAATAACGTTTCAAAACTTTCTGTGAAAGGAGAGTTAATTCTAATGTCAAGCATTAATATGTGTTAACTCTTTGGGGCAGAGCATCGAAGGATGAAAACACTATTTAAAATGCACAGTACTTTTTTTTTATCACATTAAGTACGCATATTGTATTGTTCAAGTAAGAATGAATCATTTAAACAACGATAATAGCTATACATATATTATGTCGCTATGCGGTATATTAGTTGAAAATAAAAAAAAACTGAATTAATCAATTCATATAGTTTTCAAAATTATAGTCCTGTATGTAGGAATAGGATATTTTGAAGTTTCTATATATTTCTAACAGTAAAGAGGCACTTTACACACTAAGCATAGCCAATTTGTCCTCAAGCCACACCTTAAGTCAAAGAGAAAATTTTGATTCCACGAGAATATAAGGGAAACTCGAATAATTTCGTGATATTATCTAAGTTCCTTTTCTTGAAAATTCAAATAAATACATATCGATAAGCTTCATTAAATGGCAACAACTAAGTGTGTATATATGTACTGTAAATAATATTTTAATACTTTAGGTAATCATCGAAAGAACAGACATACCTAATGATTTATTCGAATAAGAATAATTTAAATCTAAATATTCTTTGCACGGAAAACAAATAAAATTTGTGTTGTATTCCTATAGTTTGATACAGTGAAGTGAAACACCACTCCATATCAAATTTTCCATGGCGCATGTCACCGTTTCATTTTTATTATCTTCGTGTTTCTTTCTCCGGTGTCTCGATGTAGGAAACTTATTTTCTTGGTTTACTGTAAATACATTAATATATATAGCTTTTTAATATCAATTTTTTCTTTCGGATATTGTTTGGATGTTGAAAATCGATTGGTTCGAGACGTTTTCATTCCTAGATGGCGGACCAACCTCCATTTCATCATTTCTAACAAATTTATTTTCTGAATGAAAATCGGAGACAACCATAATATCAGCTGCTAGAGCATTATTGGACCAAATTCCTGTTTTACGAAAAGTCCTGATATTTTTATAATTCTATAATTGAGTGCCGATCCTAGCAAACTCCTAACGTTGTTACGCAAATCCTAGCAAATATTGTAACCCAGAAAAGTTCAAATATTATATCTAAACCTCTATTTTATCTATTTATATTACAACAAGGATCAATATTTTGTATCAATAGAGAATGTAACTTCGGTTATCTTATCCGTAGACATTCACAGTTAACACAAAAAAAAACTGGCACTTTAATAAATAGACTGCGGATGTTTATTCATTTATAACAAATGGAAATATGGAGAAATCTACGAAGACGTGTGGTAATAAAAAAATACATACCACATAGAAGATAAGATACTTTCATTTAAGTGTCGATTCTTTTTCTGTATCTATGAAAATATGAATTTGCATGAACATCCACAGTCTACTAATGAAGGAAGTATACATACTTTGCGTTGCACAAAACAGATACCATCTGATTACCTCAGTATAATTTGATATATCCGAAAATCCGCTCATATTATTTTATAAATCTAAACTATCACAGAATTAACATCAGCACGAAATTATTCAAATTTCCAATACACTAATGCTTATCAGATTGAGACTTAATCATAATCGTACGGTCTCAACTCGAAGAACAAGGGAACCAAAATTCAATCTGTTCTTATCTCCCCTCAAGGAATATCGTGCTGCTGCTTAGCTGTTTATTTCGTATATCAATTGAGATATTGAGATGACCTCTTTGCAGAAACTCATTCTACTAGAAATATGATATACAGGATGTCCTAAAAGTGTTGGAGTTCCTTGAAAGAGATGGTTCAGGGGGTGATTTGAAACAACTTTTTTTTAGCGAAAATGTTGTCCAAGGCTTCGTTAAGGAGATATTAACAGAAAACCTCGACTAATCAAAGCGCGGCCGCCTAGCGCGTAGCCTACGCTACTGCGGCTGTCTAACGCGTAGCCTACGCTACTGGGTGTGCTCGGGGTTTTTTGTTTAATATCTTCTTAACGAAGCCTCGGACAACATTTTCGCTAAGGAAAAAATTCTTTCAAATCACCCCTTTCAAGGAACTCCAACATATTTGGGACACCCTGTATACAGCCTGTATAGAAATTTGATAAGATGTGTTGTTATTTTGAATGAAGTCTATTATTAGCACACTGTGGCCCAAAGATTTAACAAAAAAATTGAAGGAAACTGTCTCGATTAGCTCCACTATAAACGACAAAAAGAATCTCAAGGGGTACAAAATGCATGTAATATCCCATCTGTTTTAATGTAGACAACACTGTATGTGAATAGGATTCAACGATCTATCTTCTCTATACGAAATCTATCTTCTACTTAATAGCTAGTTGCATCTTTAATAGAAGATATTTACGGTGGTGTCTACTAGGCATAGTATAATTGCTGAACAGAGAGATCAAAATGGTATAGATCCGTGCAAAGGGCTCGATGTCCTGAAGAAATAAGCTAGCTAACGCGACGAATAATGTTGGATAAGTCATTGAGCCATTCGCGGTCAGCATCAATATTTAAGAGAAATTATTAAATAGAAATATGGAAGATTATGGTCAGGCTGTGCTCGCACTGGCTGACAGATGGTCCAATCATATAGTTTACTTATATTCATAAGGAGAATATTGCGAACATTAAAATATAGACTAACTGTGTTAGACGGTGCACGAAAAATTACGGAGCAAACAATGTTACATTTTCCTTTAACAAGGATTACAGGTTCCGGACGATGTACGAATTCGACGAAACCATTGAGGAATTTCTGCTTCAAAATACATATTTTAATTTCACATTTAAATAGTAGCCTCATTTAATGGTTTTCTATGGAATATTCCAGATATAAAAACACTGAAACAATATCAATATTTGTAGTAGTAATATGCAAATTTAAATTCACATGTATGCCATCAAGGTTAATAATAATTTTCTTCTCTTTTCAAAATTGCAAACACTGTAACTTCGAAGAATATCATGTCTTTAACCTTGGATTGGATGTAACTTCGGATAATCGCATATTTTTCATTACTGACCAGTATTAGTACAAATCGATATTTCCAAAGTACCAAATAATTCTACATGCATGTAGCTATGGTAAACTGTTCCAAAGTTTCACGAACGTCCATCGTACGTGACATGCAAATTTTCAGGCACCGTATTCTGATCACAGTTAGTTGAGAAAAAGAGAGAGTACATACTATACGACATGTTAAATATGACGGAATTTAAACAAAGAAAAAGAAAATGGCGAGAAAGTGGTAAAAATATTCATATGACGTTATATTTTCGGTGTAAATCAAGTGTATATGTATATATCCGTGGTAAAACTACGTATATCTTGTACCTATAATGTACCGCCGGAAGCAATCCCTCTTTGGAAGCAATTTTGCAATTCAAAATTGAACAGAGTAAACCATCATGGATTCGTCAAGGAAAATCGCGTGCACACGAATTCGTGTCTTTTTATTTCTTTCTTTAACCGTATAAGAGGACTTGTTTTCCATCGGTACGAACATATAACGGACTAATCGTTTGAATGTTGATTGTTAAATGTTAGGATAGAAAAACTTAAGAACATGCCCTCGCAGCAGATATTTTACATCGAGGACACACGTTTCGTTGCGTACATGATTATGTTAGATTAGCAAGATTTTTTCATCGAAATGAAACATCGATCATTACTTATTTTCACGTTAGACACATGTTCTCGAGGATTACTTGAACGATACGATATATACGATTAATCTTTTTCGCGCATTACGTATCTGCTAATATATATTGGCCAACTTAAAAAGTAATATCACTTTGCTGTTTACACGTGTCAACAGATTTGTGTCATGTGTAATACCGAATATTCTATTAAAATCTTACAGTATTACACGAAGCGTGTAGAATCAATAACCACCAAATCCAGTTCTCACAAACATACAGAAAGATAATGAACTCCGAAATTCATCTATGAATTCAAACTAAATCGATCAAATTTGTTTTTAAATGAACTACATGGTCATTTTTGATAATAAAAAACGGCCTATAATTGTTTCTATCTGTCAATAATCATAATGTTACCAATTGAAATCTAGAATATTTTATTTATATTTAATATATCTGATACAAATAAACAATTATTTACGAATAATTCGGTTTCCCTTTAAAAACAATTACATTTTACACTCACGTAGAGGAAAGAAGTCCTGAATAAACATCAAATTAATTATTTTATTTGAACGCCAGAAAAAAAATAGATAAATTATCATGTATATAGTTTAGAAAAGAAAGATCTGTGACTTCTGTGAGTTTAAATAATCGATCGAACGCTTGTTAGCAGAAAAGGAAAGATGAATTGTCTGGTTTAAATGCAGTCACTGCCGCAATTTGTTCGCAACGAAATTTACTTCTCGCTAAACATATTTTGACACTGCCTCGTGGTGGTGATCATAAATCCAAAAACTTGTATAAACAATTGTTAAATTTGATTTAAATATTAACTCGCCTATAGCGACGATTTAAAGACGAACGAAAATATTTTCAGTTTGAAATCATCGTTTGAAACGCAGCGTTCACAGCTACCTTATTGTTAGTTATGTGAAAGTTTAACCATTCGTATAATTATTATCATAATTAGTTATTATAATATACTTGAAGGTATGTAACTATTTTATAAATAAATAGATAATCAATGTTCAATGATTTGTATTACGTATCTGATATTTTACCTGTGGAAAAAAGAAAACTTACTGCATTCTCTGTAATGGGGAAAAAAATATGTCTTATAAAAGTCATAATCATTTTATTTCAACTGTCCATGTATGTACAGCTTATTCTATTATTTATATCACTTAAAATTAGTATAATACTGCTATGGGTCTTTGTATGTGTATTTTATCAAACATTTTCAATTAGGATAAAATGCATTATCAAATTTTATGAACAATTTATTTTGTATTGATACATCACTGTCATCTCAACATAGAAACTTATGATACAGTTCTTTTCAAGTAAAAAGATTACAATATACTAATGGTGAAGAGTGCGTCTTTATAAAAATGTAGTCTACATACTTATAAAGAAATTACGAAGATTCCAGCTTCAACTTTTCCGTTAATTGTAGACCAATATAATCCCAATATCTCCTCCTTGTCTGATCATATTTTTCAGATAATTCTTTACATAGCTAAAGTTACATATACTCATAAGTAACAATAATAATTAACAAATATATGAGGAGTTAAGAAGACAAAATACCTTTATAGCATTATTAATATGAAATATCGAATTTGGCGACTCATACGATATAGGTACTTCTTCAGAAATGTCTATAATACAAGCCAGTAAATGATTAACACGACGCCCATTAGAATACAATTCCTCGCACTTCTGTCTTACTTTTTCATTATAAGCCAAACCATCGTTATCGTGCATCAAAATTCTGAAAACATAACGTGTAATTCACATAATATCTAAATCAACTAATTTTCTCTTTTGCTAATGCTAATAAATGATAGTCAACAACAGTACCCTCGTAGGTAGTTCCATGCACTTTCATTTTCCACCACTAATGTTATTTTATCTAAGGCATAATCAATTTCTCTATCAATTACATTTTGTTCGAATTTTGTTGTATTACTTATTACAAAATATCGTTGATTCCAAGCAGAGTTATTGCGAATATCTTCGTCCAACAATTGTTCCACATACTCCAGTTCTTTACTATATAGGCTGTAGATTATACAGATAAAACATTTGTTATATTGGATCAATTGAACTGAATGCAATAACATTACTTGCATAATATTTTTTTGAACCATAATTGTACAAAGAAAAAAAAGATGAATGAAATATACTAACTTAAATGTTTTTATAATCCACTGACGATGCTGCCAAGTATGATAATTCTTTGCATCTTTTCTTAAAATACTTTCTGTAAATTCTAATTCTTCACTACCATCTTGAAGCCACTCAACAATAATTTTTCTATGATGCCAGATTTGATAATTTTTAGTATGAATATTTATCAATCTTTTAATAAACTTTAACTCATCTCGTAATTCTTTTCCAAGAGCTTTAAGTATCTCTCTCCTATATTGCCATACTGTATAATTTGCTGGATTAAGCCAGATACAATTTGTTGTTAACTCTAATGCACGCTCTGACTTTTCACCAGACTTTAAAATGGCACGGAAATAATCATAGGATTCCCTAACTTAAAATAATAACATATGTGAATAAAAGTATTTGATAAATATGCAAGTCATTATTATATTGTCTTTTATTTGACTAATGTTACATAATAAAATGTCTACAATCAATTTATAATAAAATGAACAATATAAGTGACAAAAAGTTAGCACATCATTTTAGTTCAACTGTATAATGATCGCTAACCAAATATATTATAAATGTGGTTAGAACAAATGAATTTTTATTGTAAATAATTCTTAAATACTATAAAAGTTTTCCACGTGAATTTACATACTTCATATTAATTGCATTAATACACTGTTTGCTGCATTGTTTAACATTTATTTTTCCCCATAAAATTAGTTCCAATATAAATGCAACAATTTAAATTAAAAATATATCTTGAATGTACAATTTATTAAATGATCATACACTTAATAAGCATGATGCTTCGTTAAAAAATTCCATTTTAATATTATAATGTTACAAGGATATTTTTCAATGTATTGTAATGTATACACAGTTAAAGTGAGGTTATGCTTCAACATCGATAAGGACATAAAACTTTAATAAGAAAGAACTAACAAACAATATGCCACTCATATAAGGCAGATTATATATTATGAATGAAATACTTACAATTGTCGGAATAAGAAATTGCAACAATAGGATTAGGACCGTCGTCCTGTGGTACAGGAATCACGTCACTCCATTCTTCGCGATCCTTGTATGACACCCAATTATTTATATCAGAACCATCTTTGTCATTCAGTTCCTCGTTGTAACTATCCGACATTGTTTCTCTTACAAAATATCGTGTAACGATATATATAAAATTACACTTTTACAACTCAGTTCCTATTCTGACTACCTTTTCAAACCTGTTAAACTTTTCTTCATCTGACTTTCTGAATCACTCCAAGTCTTTCAAATTATACCATAGATGTCTCCTGATGTCTCCATCAAATGAAATGAATATACGTATAACTACAAGACAAGAATACCAACTACAGTGGTATTCATAATATTTATATAACTATGTAAATTACTGTTTAAACCAAAAAAGAAGTTAATAAAAAAAGAATATGTATTTAGTTTGGGATGTGTTAATTGAACTTTAGAAAGGTTCTTGGTGCTTATTTCAAATTGGCGAGAATAAACAGCTGTTCATAGCCCTCTATTGGTGAGTTCAAAGATGCGTCGTCGCAACGAAAAACGACATCCATGCGTCATTTTGATAGCGAAAGGTTTCTGATAGTCCACATGCCACCTTTGTCACATATGTGCTTACGTGGAAGTGGCGGTATAGGTCAAGTTTGTATGTGTTTTATGGTGATTTGAAAGTGATCTCCAATACGTGATTTAGTTATCTTTTGATGGCAGTGTTTACGTGTCGCGTGGTGCCAACATCACTACAAACATGAGTAGTGCACCACGTAAAGTGAAAAATCCGTTGTTGTCAGCGGCTGGCGATGGTTTTCCTTTTGAAAATTATGCTGAAAATGCATTGTTGGTGCCCGTTACACCTACTACACCTGCAGTACTCCGCGATGGTGAGTCAATGGACGAAACACCTGGGCGGGGCTTTTGCAAGTTCATATTTCCATAATCTCTTTGACACGTGACAAAATGTTGTAAATGGTGTCTGTAGATTTACGTATGTTTGTTTTTTCCTTCATTCTATTCATTAATTCTCACAATACTTTGAGTAACGTTTGTACCTAACCAAACGTCTGTCACGAACTCCGTTTGAAGTAAACAAATGTTACGTTTGTAGTGTTAATTTATTTATGTTAATTAGCGTCATGTTTTCATTAACAATAGTCTACATTCGTGTCTATTTAGTGTGAATCTACAATCTCTTCTGATGTGATGTTTCATTTGTAATCAATGTTATCAAATGGAATATTATAATTCTTCAGTCCTATATTAACTAAAATTGTTTATTCAAGGTGTTATGCTTATAGTGAAGGTTATGTTCTAAATTTTGGAATGCATATTTGTCTAAGATTGAATACAATTAAATGTAAATATTGTATAACCAAATTATGCTTTCGCCATTAAATTTATCTCCGAACCATATTTGAAAGTCATGCAATTGAACAGTGATAATACATATCAAAATTTATTAATAGGTTTTTATGTACATTCCCTGACACATGACATATATATAAAATTTAGTTCTAATATTAATCAACATTATAATGACATTGCATTTTTAATACATATTATGTTTTTATATTGTTTATTACTACAAATATTGATTAGAAACTAGTTCTTTCAGCTTGCGCAGGAGGTCTAGATCCATATCTTTGTGTATAAGGCAAATTGAGACTTTTCCTTCTTCGAATGCAATATATGATTGAGATAATAATCAAAATGATGATAAATAGGGCAAGCAATACTCCTACTGTAATAGAAGCTATCTCTGCTTCCGACAAGTTGTTCCATACTAAAAGAATATTCCACATATTATATGTAGTGAATGACATGTTTTGTCAGTTTATGTATTTCATGATATTAACAGTAACAATTCTGCATGTATTCATTCAAGATATGTTTGTTTTTACTTTAAGATAATGAAAAGTCAAAGTTTAATTGTGCAAAGGTGAAATTAATTTAGTAAGATTTATTTAATGTTTATATTAATTAATTGGTTGAAGAATTGTACCAATGCATGTGATAAATATAATGTGAACATTACCTGTAACATCTATGGTTTGAGTATTATAATTGTCCAATAAGTCTCTCGCTGTAATTTTAACTGTCACATCGCAACATGTAGCTGAATAATAAAATTTTATAGGACTTCTTGTACCACTAATAAATTCTGATTGTGGATATATTTCATTGGGTGATGAAATGACACGTTGTAAACCTGTTTTAAAAGTGTAACATTTTAATATTTGTTATGATTGTCTTGGTTTAAGATTAAAATGAAATATTTCTATTAGTATTCAGTGGCTTAGACTCTATTGAAACGTGGAATTGATACCTGAATCATAATCCTGAATTGTAATGTCCATACTCCAACGAGATTTGTAGCATCGTCCTTTTTCCAATTTTCCGGCACAGTTGTTATTGAAAGAATATTCCATTTTTGGTTTCACATCATCGGTTAACTACGTGTTATTATATAACATGTAACTATATGTTAGATTTACTTGTATTTACTCTAGAGTAAATTATAGAATGTTTATCCTGCACTTTAGTTTAATTTTTTGCGAAGAATCACCGCTTTTCGGCTTTATTGACAATAACAAACTTTCCTCTGTTTATAATTACCTTTGAGAGTGAGCCTTGCACATACAAGTATACAGATTTATCCTTTATTTCTGTACCCTGTATGGATAATGTAACTGTATTAGCCGTGTCCGGTGCAGCATTATCGGGTATAATCAAGTCCACTGCTACGTTACTCATTTGTCCAGGGTATATCCACGCACTAGAACAAACAAATATTCAGTTGATAGGTAGTGTGAAAAGGCAAGCAAATTTGATTTTTAATAAAAAGTACAAATTTCAGATAGATTTGTAAAAAAAGAAAATTATATAACGGAAAATAAATTAAACGCAATAAAAAATAAGGGAAAACGTTGTAAAATTGTTGAAACTTACTATGTTGGTTGGAGGTTGTACACCCTAAAAGGCGTACTCCTCACTCTGAATCCATATCTGACGGGCAAAACGCAGTTATTCATTACATCGAAAACTACTCTGTGTATTGTTCCAGGCGTGACAAGCAAATTCGAATTTCTGTTGACTTCTATGAGCATTCTTTTCTCGTCGATACTATTCTCGTTTCTGTAATTTACCAACTCTTCGGATAGTTCTCGATTGTCTAAAGCCTCTATCATATTCATGGACGTACGAGCATTGTTCATTACTGGTGTTTTGATATCGATGCTTTCAATCTGTTCCACCGAGGATCTTGCATGAATCTCTTGTTTATCCTGAATCGAAGACATCAAATTTTACAGTGTAAGAGGTGTCATTACTGTGTAAACCTGAATGTTTTTTAAAATAATTCTTTTGTTCGAAATACATATCTAGCGAGTGATGAAAAGTCATCATTTAAAAGAATTGGTTATTTATCGATGTTAGATAAAAATATTTTTATATCTGGTACGAAATATGCTTTGTTTGCTTAGATACGTCGAATTCTAGAATCAAATTTTTATGTACTTCATGCAAAGAGTTATAGGTGTACAAGATGTGCAGAATTATTTGAGAATTATTTCACAGATGTAGTTTTTTTTACCTCCGTTGATATCATTCCGCCGGAAGATTGTTTATCATCGCTGGGATAATTGGAAGTAGTTACATTCCCACCACCCATAAAAGCAGCGTACTCAACGTAGTTAGCGAGTATATTTTCAGTGCTGGTGGATACCGAGGAATCATTCTCATTGGAATTTTCCGCTGACGTTCGATTATTTAGTTCTTGTGCGAACGATTCATGCTGTCGAGTAATTTTTTTGTCACTGCCTAGGTCAAAGTTGTTGGTTGCGTTTGAATTTTGTTGTTCAGCTGCGACTGCCTTTGACTCGCTTGCCTAAAAAGATTCACCAAGTATCTATAGTACCATCTTAATTTATTCGTTTGACTACCATACGATGACAATGTTTGCACGATCAATTTACATACCTTTTTAAAATCATCGATCGTTTTATCTTTACTTAATTTTATGTCGTCTTTTGTTACAATGGCTGAACGGTATGTCGTATCTGATGCTCCGTCGAAGTCTGTAATGTTACGAATAAATTTGAGGTATTTTTTGTTAGCGTTGAGAAGATATTAAATTTATTCAATTTCTCGGCAGAAATATTTGAATTAATGAGTAGATAACAATTCCACCTAATTCAACAAATTGCAGTCGTATGTTATTGTAGCAATAAGGTAAGTAAACTTTAATGTTTTTTAAATGGTACACGATGCTCATATATCTAAATTAAAATGCCATTATCGATATAAAACGTTAACGAAAAATCAAGCGTTAGTTTAAAAACGGATACAAGATATGTTTAAAATTGTAGAAGTTGAAGCAGAAATAAATAGGGGGAAAATTGTCGTATTCTACAGTATTGTTTTTTTGGAGAAGACCATGAGATTTGTTGACTATTATATTTATTATTTCTGTACGTATAATATCGGTATGCTGTCAGAAATTTCGCCAGATAGGCAATGAAAGATAGTAGTTGCATGATAGTTCGTTCTCATTTAACTCGTTTCAATAGGTGCAAATTATTTTCTCAATTGAATGCATAAACTGCTTGACGGAAGCAAATACTTTTTGTATACTGTTGTTACAGACAGCTCTCATCATTGAGAAACTGAAATGAATGTGTTTATGCATGAATATACTATGCATGCACTAGAATTAGCCGCGAGATAACAAATTTACATAACATCCGAGAAACGAAACATGAAAAATATCCAGAAATTCCTATATCAGTCATTTAGAATATTATCGTGTATCAGTTACAAACAGTTGAATATCAATTTAGCATTCGAAGTTAATTGTATAATTTTTTGAAAAGTCTTGGTACTCTCGAAATTTTAAAAGGTGTATTAGTAGAGAAACTACATACTTTAACTGAAAAAAGATTCGTAAGAGAGATATAAGATCGATAAATATTACACCTTTATGGTTTTTGCGTTAATAAGTGTTGAATTGTATTGTGTTATATTGTATTTTTGTATTTGTTCCCCTTGGAATTGCATCTTAACATTCGAATTCTTTCTTTCTTCTTTTACACTTTATTTTCCTATTTTACCTTAACTCTCCTTCATCACTACCTTATTTCTAAAACTCTAATTTAAAATCATTTTTAAATTATAAAGTTTCATGTATGTCATATCTGATGCTTAACTTATGGACAATGTGTATGTATCTATGTTAATGTTTATCCACATTTTGACGTTACAAAAACAAGTTTCTTATCACTTTCGTAAAGTTTCTAAGATAATAACAATTACATAAGTTCGTTTACTATTCAGGGTGTCACTGATACTTCGGAGTGTACATATTCTGTTTACACACTATTCGTACGATAAACAAGATCGATGTATGCAGTTAAATACAATACTGCACAATATTACAATGTTTAGGAATTATTTATTAAAGTTTCTTTTCTTGAAGAGAGGTTAGCAAAAAAAGGATAAGACACATCATGTGGAAACGTATAAGAAATGAAATAGAATTTAACAACAAAAAGTTTCATAGGAATAATTGACGGTGTATATTAATTATCATTGAAGGTGGTAAGTGTCCACATACATATTTATGAACGGGGTCTATGAAGTAAAACAGATCCGTTTTGAGTGGAAGTGGAATTTCCCGTACTAGGTCAGACATTTTGGTCAGACTTGGTCAGTTTCAGCCAGACTAACAATAAGTACTAGTCTCTCGTCACCGTCTAAATTTTTCTTTCTCGTGGTATCACATTCTACCTAATGCTTTAGCTTCAGCACAATTTTGCATCTTCTCTTTCAATCACGTTACATTAGAAACAAATTAATATTTTACAATAAAATTTTAAGGAAATGGCTAACTTACTTTTTTACATCATTATTTACACTTTTTTAGTACGTAATTATCAATAATTCTCAACCTTCATTTATTAGTAAATAAAAGTACGGAATTCATATCACAGAAACGTATCATCAAAGCCAATATTTTTTCTTTGTATGGTATGCATGAAAAGAATTACGCGTCATACATATCTGCGTCATCCGAAGCCAAAGTATTATTATAATTCACGATTGGATCTTTCTTTCTCTTTAGAATACATGGAAAACTGTGCTTGTGCGTGATTACAATCGTCAATCGTTGTAGTAAATTTAATCAACAAGCGTTAATAGAACGGGGCAACTTATAAATGCTGCAGTTTTGTAATCATAATGCCTTTGACTTAGCTCGTGTTATCTATTTACGCTACTGCATGCTGTCATATTCAAAACTAAAACCAATAAAATCAATAGCCCCGATAGACTAGGAATGTATTATCGATAGTACTCCACTACTACTAGCAAGTTCACGACTAAAGTTGATAAAAATTCTCCTTTGAACTAAAATCGCTTATTATACAAAATGTTGGTTTTTAAAAGTTAAGGGGGTATTATCGTATAGAAACTTCAAAAATTCGATTTTTATTTTTTTACATTTTCTTATCATTTGGGGTTTTGAGAAAGTGCCTCTACAATATTAATTTGAAATTCGTAGAGCTCTCATAGCTACAGTGGCTTAAAGGCTACTCACCAGTATTAGTGCTAAATGTATATAGCAAACTTTAAACGCGTTTTTCTCGAAACGACATTTTTCAAGTCGGGCACACGTTTTTTTTCAAAAACTATTGGACCGACCGACTTCTGGTTTTACACACATTTCGAGGGCACCATCATCTATGGTCTGAACTAGAATTATACCGAGAGCTTGAATATTTTAGCCCTGGTCTCATATTTTAGTTGACAATTTTCCGGGAAAATTAAACCTTAATTTTCAAACAGCTGCGATTCCGATAAAAAATTCAGTACTTAACTCTAGTTCAGACGATAACTACATTCATATAGATTGAAAACCAAATTTGTTTTTCTGTCTCAGACGACTAGAACCGCCACAGCCTGTGCGCCCGATTGAACGAACGTCTCACGCCACAACCTGCACAATAGCGCATAACTTGTATAGATTTCAATGAAGTATTTCATAAAAATTTGTGTTGTTAGTTGAAACATGTTTTATTATGTATAAAAAACTATGGTACTGTAGGTTTGACAGTTTTCGCAAAATTAATTCCTAAAAATTACTGAAAAAACAAACTTCTAGACGATAATACCCCTTTAAAGCCTGCAAAAGATACGCAAGCATCTCCCTCTATCCCTGACGAGTTTGACCAGTGATCTTATCTATCGAGCTATTTGTAACTACCCGCTGTTCTCCATTCTTTCCCCATTCTAATCGGATCTAAGGAGAAAAATTCGCGAATCTCGTTTCTTCCTGATCTCCAGCGTGCGTCAGCCGAACGGCGTAGTTGGCGAGCAAAGGGCAGCCCGCGGCGTTCTTGCACAACTGTGCGTATCTCTCGGCCAGAAAGCGTCGGCTGGTTTGCCAGTTGTCAGATGACGCGTTTCGAGCGAGTTTCGCATACACGTCGCGCTAGCGTAAGCAAGCTCGCCGACAGCTCGCGGTGCCAGTACTGCTGGGTTTAACTTGGGCTTCAGGTTTTCCCGAGTGCTTACGCGTCTCATCGTTTTTGCGCGTCCCCGAAAGTTCATCGAGCAAGCCTTGAGATTGTGTTAGTGGCTGTGCTTTAATTAAGAGCATATCGGAGTATCAGCAGTGGTAAGTCGATCCAGCTTCCCCGGCAGCGAACAGTGTTTACATTTCGATGATTTCGCGACGAATGGTGCACTTATGAATCGATATTGTTGTTCTTCCTTTACACCTGTAGTAGATCATTAGCCAAAGATGGGTATAATTGAATCAATGACAAATGAATTCGATAAACATATTCTCGACGTTTGCTTGATGGATCGATTTAACGTTTGTTTGTACTCTATGAAATACGCCATTCTATAATTAGAATGTTCAATTTTTGTTGAAAAAGTAACGCAGAAGCAATGCTCATCTTTTACTTGTTATATGAAAATTTTATTCAGACGAAACTTTCGGTCCATCTCTGATATCGATGAGGTTAATGCTCTCGCTTGTGATATCGATAATCTTGTTCAAAATATTTGTTGTTTGCGGGATGGTACCTTTATGCAAGTTTATATTTCGAGAATTTGGTTTCTGATTGACACGCGAGAGAATATAGTAATTTGGTGATTATCGAGTTGACGTTTAAGTTTGTACAGTTCTATTTGAACACTGCTGACTTTTATCCTCATAAAAATTACTTCGGTAATACATATATAAACGTGATCGACAAATTCTTAGAAAGTAAATGTTATGAAACAGAAAATGTATCGAAGATCCTGACACCCGTACACTTAGTCTTAATATAGTAGTGAAAACATTCAGAACCAAGATTATGGTACGTCAGGTTAACAGAAACAGACATTTCCGACATTCACTTCCGTGTGCATTTAACCAAGGTTTAAATGCTTTGCAAAACGCTAGAAGTATTTGTGCCGTACAAGGAAAACATTATTGCGGCAGGCCGCCTTGAAAGTGAATTGCACGTTTTAAAGCGGATTTCAAGATGAGAGTGAGAGTGAGATGGTGTGCTTCGGCGCGCCAACCGCATCAGTGCTAATCAGTTGTCGTTGGTTGTTTTCCTCTATTTAAACAGTCTATTCTGCTTCACACGATGACCCCACTCATATAATTTAATAAACTATTTGAATTTTTATCACAGATAAACCGTTTTCAAAATATCTGCAGAAGACATCGAAGTACCTTATCAAAATAACACGACTAACACCTAGAAGCCTCAGTTAGTATCAACCATGACGAACCAGGCCGTGAAAGCCTCGAATATCTTACACAACCCTGCTTATTAACGAAAAGGTTCACTTACCATTTAATCGAGGTGCCGGAAAGAATAGTTTATCTCTCGTCTCATCTTCTGCTTCTTCGACGAAGCCCACGACGGCGAAGTGGTATTTCGAATTTTTCTCCCCCATGAACTTCATCCACCACTCGCCAGGTGGCGCGTTGCGCGTGTCGATTTTCATCCCTTCCGTGTCACCTTTACGTGTCCAAGAAATCATTGTTCCGAGCCACGGCGTTGTTGCATCTGTCAATTACAATACACGGGTACGTTAGTTATTTACCAAAGCATTTTAGATGCTGAGAACCGGGACATGCCGTTCCGGAACGAGCGTTTTCAAAGAACATGCGGAGAACGTCGCGCAGCCGTTCTAGAGACGAGAATTTCATTCGCGTGAGGATAATTGGCAGTGGACGCAGACATTTGCGATTCTTCGTGTGCCAAGCATCTCGCCTAGCTTCCTATTAAAGTGAGGACAATCGCTTGGTGAAATGCAACGTGTGTGTGGTTTGGACTGTTTGAGAAGGCGATGCGGTCGATACCATGAGTGGTACGTGGAGGGTGTAAGACATCGTGCTCGCCAATAGTAGTAAACTATTAAATATAGTACAGTATAAAATATTACAGTAGAACAATAGTTAGGGTAAAATATTTGAAGCTTGTATGAATCGTTTCCACAAAGTTGATATTAAGGGGAGAAACCACATTGAGAAGCACTCGTAAAAAATTAAATTTTCAATTTTTTTGACAGCAGTTTAGTTCATATTATTAGAAACCATGTCAAAAATATAAGAAAAAGTTTCGTTGATTTCAGATAATAGTGTAATGTGCTCAAAGATTTCTGTGTGTATTTTAAAATGTACGTAAAATACTCTCATTCAACTTCGTAAAGTTTTAGTTCTAAAATAAAATAAAAACTGTTGATAAATGCTTGAAATTGAAGTTGTAGCATAAATGAATAAGAGTTGGAAACTGCTTTGTACATGTTTCACCAAAAACCTTATTTGGCTTTGATTAATTAAAACACGACAACGAAACTTTTTCACTGGAAGGTCTCTCGAATGATATTCTTGACGCAACACCGTTGTAGCAAATTACGTTTCTACGTGAAATAAATGTGCACCTTGTTGGACAATGAACACGGACGGGAAATTATAGAGATCTATTAATTCACGTGTCAGAGTACGTTCCGAGCGTCGACAATTATTTTTAGTTTACGCTACATAACAAGATCGCTCATGTAGTATCGAAACACGTGGCGCAACGTTCAGCCTTCACCTCTGCGTAGACGATCGATCGATTAATTTACCACTGATTTTTCAAGATTCTTAAAATTCTGGTTTTCCAGTATTTGGCGAGAGATGGAAAAATACTTACTCGTAGGTATTCGAAGAGCTGCGCTCGAAATATTTCCGTCGACATTTATGATAATTCGATTAATCCTCCTGTCGACTGAGAATTTTATCTCCATGCGTTCGCTCACGTTGAACTTTTCCGTGATTGTTATCTAGAAGAAATCAATTCGGGTAATTGATCGTTATTAACACGAAATACGATTGCGTTCTGAGTTCTGGTTTGTCTGGATAAAAAATTGATTCACCGAGTAATAGCATTTGCTAAAAGTGCAAATTTGCAATTACATCTTTGAAATTTCTATAATGATTTTTTAATATTTTCAAACATTATAGCGCTTTAAAGGGCCTTTAATTTCACTTGAAATTGTAATTGCGCATATTTATATTTCAAACAGTGATAAATGATGGTGCCAAATTTGAATTTCGTGTGACTATTTGTTCTCAAAACACGCATTCCTAAAAATAACTCATTTTATCACCCATTAAACCAGAACTTCGCTTTATGAAAATTGCTGCACTGACATGTGTTTGGATTCCAAGTGTGTTAACTCTCTCAAAGTCGTCACCGTTTTGTTTGTTAATCTGTATATTCGCATACAATTCTTTTTCTGTGTAATTCGTGCGAGTTCCTGCTTCAGCTGTTTCGCAATCCAGGTCAAGGTAAATCTAAAAGTATAAACAAGATTACGAATATTCTTGGAAGGATAGCACAGTGGTACAGCAAACTATACCTGACATTTTCTGGGAACGTTGTTTGAATTTTGTTCGTCGGTCGATCTTACTTCTGGCATGGTTAATTGCAGGTGACCTTTCGGAACCGGATTATCTGAAATATTTTATCCGAGTTTAAGATAATTAATTCTCTGCTCGCCTCTCTTTAGCAGCGGTTGTTGATAGTCATTGTTAGAAGGGGTTTAATTCTCTGGGTCAATAAACAAAGATCTGCAAAATATTTACTACTAGTTGTATCCATGTGGGTAAACACCAGTAATATGCGGAATTGTTTTTCACGTTTCACTTAAAATCTCTCAATGTGTGTATAATTCGTACGAGGTATGACTTATCTGTTGTTTATAACCGATTTGGAAATCAATCTCTGTTTTACGTCATTAGAAGAATTTTTATGAGTTTCCTTTTACCAGTTTCGCATATCTTACCCGCTGTGTCAATGCCATTACTCGACCAAAAGATGTTAATGTATTGAAAGTTATCGTCATCTGTGTTGCTTCCCTTTCCGATGCAGTACCTTTCGGTTAAAGAACGATATTAGTGTACCATTTGACAACAATCTTATGATTCAAGGTATTACGTGTTCTTCGTTGAACTACAGTATCGATTTAAGAAAAATTAGTTCGAATCAGATAATCATTTGTTAACGTTTTTTGTTTTCTATTTATAGTTCTGTATGTGAAAAAGAATGGCCGTAACATCTTTACACATGACTTTTATTGCGTAAATATAATTATTCCCAAATTCTGAATTTATGGCACTTCAGTCATCGAGGTAGAAACAAAAATGAAACATTCTAGCCATGGAAACGTGAAAAGACTCGAAATATCCTAATTCTAAAAATAGCGTTTTTTCGCCCGCATGCCATGAACATATGCACCAACAAACTTCCCACGTTTTTCTTTACCACTTCCAGTGTAAACATTATCCAACATAGTTTATTCAAAAACCTCACCTAGCACACTCGTCCGAAGAGAAAATTACGGTTCCATCGGGGTTGGATTCTTTCGATTGTTCGAAAAAACTTCCAGTCCGACTTCCTAGCGGTGTATTCCAATACGGCACTTCCGTTTGAATTTCTAAACTTGGACGACGCATTTTTTCACCCGACATTACGTTTCGTCTCAGGAGTTTGAGATTATCTCTCGTATCCATATTGTCGAAGATCGTGACAGTGTTTACTGCTGTCGCAGCAACAATAATTGTCGTACACGTAACGCACACTAGGTAACACATCACCGGGTAACGAAAGCACACTCGCGTTTTCATGATGCGTCTTTCAGGGGTAATCTTGACGGAAGACTGACAGTGAAAATCGACCGGTTACTTATAAAGTACCGGGCGTCATCGTTTACAAAAGGGTAAGGTGTTCGTAGTTACGTCTACGATAACACGACCGGTAAAGTAAATGTAGGCGTAAACGCTGCCCGTTGACAATCGCAGGTGTTTGATGTGCATGCGTGTACAGGATGTGATCGCGTATAGAAATGGGTAATTCGAGGTCCGACAGGATGCCAGTGCGATCATCCACGTAAGAAAAGATACCTCGTATCTTTTACCATTATCTTCGTCATTGCGACTTACGTCCATTGTATCCTGTTCAATATTGACAGTTTCTGAATAATCCAACTGGGACTTTGTATATTGGGGCAATTCGTGGTTAATGTGTCATTTATGACGTGGACCTTCAATTGTTGCCATTATTGCTGACGAAACAGTGAATTTTGTACTATGCGGTGGGCTCATTGGTACGTGACCTCATCACACAAGGTTGTGGCGTTTCTTGGTATAGTAATTGTTGGTAAAGTATAAAAGTTCGTAAAAGGGAAGATTTGGTTACTTGATGATGACATCATTGGATAATCAGTTATATTAGAAAAGTGTTTTATTTTGAAAACGGATGGTTCCGTAGGTTTTTAGATTGATTATACTCGTATGAGATTCTATAATATGTATACCTAAAGACTACATCATTGATACAAAATTAACAAAAATAAAAGAAACAACGGCATTGAAACTAAATAAATATAATGAAGAATGAACAAAACCATAGAACGCACGGTGAAGTATTTGGTCTCGAATAATTTTGACTCTATAATTTCTATGTTATAAGTATCATACTATTCAATTGCTTTAACGTGGCAAACTCAAAGCAATAATTATTTTTATAAGCAATTTAATTTAGGTCAATCAATTGTACTACAGAAATTTGTGATAATTTATCAAAGATTATGGTGGTTTAAATGTACTTTGTAGATGTTCAGGAAAGTTGGTGGTTTTTTCGAGTATCTTTTAGTAGTTTTCCATAACGAGTAATCTGTGTCATCATTAAGAGAGAGGTTTGAAATGTAAGGGTAAAATTCTTCGTTACAGTAATTTTGAATTAGTTGCTTCTGTTGGAATGTTTATTTATAAAGAGTTCGTACTGAAGTCTTACCTCTTTTAAGCATCTGCGGTAGTGTAGCCAAAACTGAGTGTATAGTGACATTGTTTGTAATGTCTGTAGCAAATACTGTGGTTAACGAACATCTTATTCTAAAATGGTATAAAGAACGTAGAAGCGATGATTTCAGCTTGAAAGATAAAGAGCGAAGTGGAAGGTCAGTTAAGATTAACGATGATCACATGTTCACGTTAAGTCAAGGTAAATCACGTTTTCGTCGAACTGATCACGAAAGATCAGATTCTTCACAGTTGAAGAAACGAAAAATATAAACAAGTACCATGTTTGGATCCCGCGCGAATTGATGCGCAAATCAATGTGCCAGTTGCATATATACCAATTCCATAGCGTAAATAAAAAAAAAATAAAAAAACTGAACACCCTGAATATTAGCTTTGTACTGCATCATTCTATTTCAACAAATTGTACCAAAATTTTAGACGAAACTTTTCGCTGTTTTCAGATGCTGAAGTGGACAACTTCGTGGGAAAGGAATCAGCAAATTCTCAAAATTCACCTAAACTGGTGACTCCAACCAGTACAGATACCGAATTCACACCTATACCTTTACGTTCCGAAAACGCGAAAAGTACAGAAAATCAGCCCGCGAAGCAAGGCTACTTCACTTCGATTCTTTCGTCTCTCCCAAATTTGTCCTTATCGTCGATTAAGGGCGATTCCTCGGGAACACAAACAAACCAAGGATTTGAACACGTAGCCGGTGTACAGAATACGAATCCTTATGTGCCTTCGTACGATAGTCGTGATACTTTGAAACATACACCGTCGCCTGTAATCCCTAATTTCCACGATCCTCGACGCACGAATTTTGCGGGATCTGGCGAGGTTCTGGCCGGAAACACTGCGAATTTATCAACTCCACCGCAACCAACCTTGCCGCCTACAATTCCTTCCTCGACCGATGGTAAGTTTTCATTATTTTCTAACTATAGTAGATATCTGAATAATACGATTAAGAGGGTACTCTTTTTTTGTTTTATTTTTTGCTAAACTTTACTTTGAGCAATACAAAATTATGGACTTTTGTTTTTACCATTTAGTATCTTTTGATGCCTGTAACGCAAAAATACAGGTTTTAATGTTAGGAATCTAGCGATCAAAAAGATATGCGTATGTAAATTTCAGTACTTTTAGCGTAATTCACTGGTTACTACGACGCCATGTTGGCTTTTATCTATGCTCCGTTGATCGATTAAGTAGGGGTGACATTAAAATGATAAAACATGTTTTTGACTGTCGAAAATCGTTCTAGTTTAGTTTTACTGAAAAATTCTGCGATCAAACGGAAATAATAAATTGAAAGAAATAAATGAGGACTGATCGTAAGGAATCGAACCCGAACTGGCATTGTGCAAGTTCATGTCAAAATCTACCAGTATACAAAGTTTCAATGAAATAGGTGATTCGAAGGTCTTGCGCTTTCTTTGTTAGGAACACGGACATTAATATGATTGTAGTGATGCGGACGTCAACACAAAAAAGCTAACATTAAATACAAGACTTAATATGTTAGTCACGTGAAACTAATATAATGTCTTTTTCTTTCTCTCAGGACCCATTTCGTATCGACTTGGCAACCAAAGACGTCTTAAATACGCACCGCCGCCCGATTTGACAACGAGCACATCCAAACAATATTCAGCTTCGCCTGTTCCATCATTATTTACTCCGCCGAGTGTTGTGACGTCGACTATTTTTAATCCAAACGTACCAGTTGTCTCGGCTCCAAGTCACCAGCTGATCGACAATCCGATTTCCACTAATCCATCGTCGTTGCAACACTCAACGCCGGAGCAATTGTCCCAAGACAATTCTTTGCAAGTGTCAGTCAGATCTAGTCCGATAGCGACAGGAGTTCCTTGTAGCTCAACTGGTACCCCGCGAAGCGTGACGCCTCAAAGTCAGACCTCTGGTTTCGAGAGCGTTCCTCTGTCTGGAAAATCAGGACTCTTTGTGTCAACTTCTCGACCCATTCCTTCCAAAGTTCTGGAACCTGCGACCCCTCAAAACACACCAGCCAATGTCTCATTCTCTGGCTTTGATCTGTATGCGAATTATCCAGACCACTTAACGACGCTTAATTCAGGAAAGGGAGCTGCCGCAACAGGAAACCGAGTTGCCACCTCCTCGAACCAAGCGGTCTCGCACATTTTACAAGAAAATATAGTCGCACCTTCCGTGGAAGTTAAAGCTAATTCGACGTTTGCTCCAATTTCTGCGGTTCAAGTTACGGAAAAATTGGAACACCTGCTCGCTGAACAGAAAGAGGATTCCACGAATTTACCTGCTGGGATAACAACCAAACCTGACGAGAGCACAACAGAGGCTCAAGTTGTCGAAACTCCTAAGGATACAAAGTCAAACGACACCGAAGGCAAGAGCGAATTAGTTAAATCTGACTCAGTAACCGATACGATTACTAGACAAGTTTCCGAACCGTTGCACCCACCGATAGTTCGTCAGGGACCGTATACAGCGAATGAAAGTATTGATACATCGCAAAGTCATGGTGTGTCGTCGTATATACCATCCTTCCAACAATATTTTCAGGCACAACCTTCTGCGTCAGGTACCGATTTCTTCGCGGAGAAACCACCGACACAGCAGAAGCCGAGTCTGAGTTATACCACGGCTGAAGTTTCAGTCCCGACTACATTTTCTGATCCTTTGAAGGCATTCGCACAGCCTGCTAGTTCGTTTTTCGATTTGTCGGGAATTAACAGCCCACTCTCTCCACCTCAGCACAAAGAAAACATTGCGAATGCGCATGCCGATTTAGCAACAGCTCCTTCGATAAAAAATTCGCAACAGTCACCGTCGGGCACTTCGTTGCTTTCTAATCTCAGTAGTGCTTTTGTACCTGTATCTCAGGCATCGTGGGATATCAATAAAACCCCTCAAGCAGAGACTGCAAATGCAACATGTAGTGCGACGATTCAGGCAGTACCTCCTATGCTTTACAACCCAGCACAATTTCAAAACGATTTCTACAAGCCATCGTCAGTAAGGCATCCGTACATTTCCCCTTTCGCACAACCAGCAGCGAGCCAAGCTCAACAATACTTTGAGAATTTACCTGGATCGGTACAAGTGCACGACACAGCCGGTGGAAACAGTAATATATTCCTGCCCACATCACCCGCGACTACGATCGTACCTGAACCGACGGGTTCGGCTACTCTAAGTCCAGTGCAAATGTCAATTAATCCGTTATCTGGGCGACCAAGCTTAGATACCGTGCCTCGCAGTTTTCAAAATTTGGTAAGGAATGTATTATAAAATTCTGTAAAAAAGAAAAAGATAAAATTTTTACCTAGAGAAAAGCAATTTCCCCTAAAATAAGAAATATCTTCTATATGGTGAATAAAAATAACAATTATTAATCGGTTGGTAATAAATTCCAGGCCACTGGTACCACAGATAAACGCATGCCGTACAGAGCAGTGTACCATCATTGGTTTTATCGGAAGGAGGTGGAAAATAAGGTGCTATGGCTTCCATTTTCCATGCAAGATAGTTTACAGTTAGAAGAGGTGCATAATTCCTCCGAGATTACCCCTGAAACTACAGTCGCCACGGATGGTGGTCGTTACGATGTAGACATTTTACGACGTCAGAGATCCCCCGTTTATTGGAGCGGAACACCAACAGAAGTTAGACGATGCTCTTGGTTCTTTAAAGGACCTACTGAATCGAAATACATCCCTTACGATGAAAGCACTGCCGCGAAACTCGAGGAAGAGTATAAACAAGCTTGTGTCGCGAATAGCTGGAACCGAAGGATTGATCTGAACAATGGAGAATACATTATTTTCCATAGCGCCACCGTCCAAATTCACTACCTGATTCCCAGTTCCCCAGAATTGACAGCGTCATGGGGCAATACTGCGGTAAATTCCCTTCAATTATTAATGAGATAAACGAAACACTTAAATGGAAAGTGAAATATCAGTCTGAATACATTCAAAGATTTTCTACATCGTTCATTTTTTCATTGTATAATACGCGTGGTGCTGTTGGAAATGTTCAATCATGATTTGTACAGGGTTCAGAGGACAGTGCATATTTACAGGGTGCTGGTAGTAGGCCACGAGTGCTAAAAAGGGGTGTCGACGAATTTCACATTGAAGATGGCGAACCTGAGAAAGTGGATCATCTTATGTTTCTCGTCCATGGTATAGGAAGCGTCTGCGACTTGAAATTTCGAACCGTGGAGGAAGTTGGTATGTTTTAAATAAAGGTTTATATTAATTGTGATTTTATTATTACTACAAAAGGTATAATTTTCTTATACCTATTTTCTTAGATTAATGTATAGGATGGTACGCGTGTGTTTAAAAATATTTCACAATGAAATTTGTAAACAACCGAATACTAATTAACTTTTGTTCCAAACATTATTTCGTCCAATTACGACGAACACCCTGTACATAATAATTATTCTTGAAAACTGAAATTAAAGCTCGATTTAACTAAACCTTGCTAAGTCAAATGACGATCGATGATAATATACATTGCACAATTGCAGTTGACGAGTTTCGAAGTATATCACTGCAATTGGTTCAATCGCATTATCGAACTGCCAGCGAACAGAGAATTGTGAACAGGATAGAAGTTCTACCAATTTCTTGGCACACGACCCTTCATTCCGAGGATACTGGAATCGACAAGAAATTAAAAGCCATCACGTTAGAGAGTATACCCAAGTTACGGCATTTCACCAACGACACATTGCTCGACATACTTTTCTACACTAGTCCTGTGTACTGCCAAACCATAATGCAAACAGTTGGAAGTGAGGTGAACAGGCTCTATGCTCTTTTCAAAGAAAGAAACCCGAGTTTTGATGGAGGAATTTACCTTGGCGGTCATTCGTTGGGTAGTTTAATTTTATTCGATCTTCTGTGTCACCAGAAACCATTACCGGATGACAATACGGATGTCAATAATGCTGAAGCTAGCGAAGAACAAGTTAGTAAATAGATTTTAAAAATGATTTACTATTTGTATTACTGAATCGAAACTATTTTAAATGACGATACTATTAATTTAAGCATAATAGTATTTATAATAGTTACTTTAACGTTTCTTTTCTTGACTTACTTTTTTTTTGATAATGCAATTTTGAGAAATTATTCAGGACGATACTTTGTTTTTTATTACAGACGGAGGCAGATACTGATCCTTCTAAAACATTACCTGGCCGAGTTTTAAAGAGACGTCTTAGTAAAAAAATAAGTTATGTGATAGGTGCTGCCGGAACGGGTCAGCCTTTTATACATTATCCGCAACTGAATTTTTACCCACGTGCCTTTTTCGCTTTTGGTAGCCCAATTGGTATGTTTGTAACAGTTCGAGGCATCGATATGCTTGGTGAAGATTTTCTGTTACCAACATGCCCAGCTTTCTTCAATATATTTCACCCATTCGATCCTGTAGCCTATAGAATCGAGACTCTTATTAATCCGGAAGCTTGTAAATATCGACCAATGTTAATTCCTCACCACAAAGGACGGAAGAGAATGCATTTAGGTAGGTAACCGATCAGGTTGCATTTTCTTTTACAAGTTTAATCCTTTGAACGGCAAAAGTATCGAACAACGATATATCTTCGTGTAGTATGGAAAGGGTTGATGCTTTTATAAAGTAATCTTATTTGCAAAATATACTAGTTTATTATTTTTTAGCATCATTGGTGTCGCCTATACTACAAATATGTTCCTAAAATTTTTACCGTTTGACATCAATTAATTTGATGTCTCGATGTGTTTATGTTGTAGAATTAAAAGAAACAATGTCACGTGTCGGTGCGGATCTGAAGCAAAAGCTCCTCGATTCTGTTAGAAATACATGGAACTCTGTGTATCAGTTGGCTCTGTTTCATAAGCCAGATAATAGTGCACTCGAACGGGAAATTGACAAGGTTGTCGAAGAGCAAATGCAACAAACACCAACCGTGCCGGATCAACAGAGTAACGACGATGGTGGAGCTGACTTTAAAGTAGGAAAGTTAAATGGTGGACGAAGAATAGATTATGTACTCCAGGAAGCACCGTTTGAATACATTAACGAGTACATTTTTGCCTTGACAAGTCACGTCTGTTACTGGTTAGTATAATTCTTTAGATAATACTACATTTTATACGTTAAATGCCATAAGGGACGTGTAAACATTATTAAAATGCTTTAAACAAGTAAACCTTAGCATCGAGTTATAAGCATTTAGACATTACGGAAATATTCAACTGTATTATTTTAATTACGTCAAATTGTATCGAAAATCTATACTCAGACTGCAGATTATAAATGTCTGCGTTTGTTTAGGGAGTCTGAGGATACTATGCTGATGATGTTAAAAGAGATATATGGTTCAGCGGGTATTCAAACGGACGCTCAACTCCCTCAGCAGACATTGTCGATAGAGCGAGCAACACCGTCTCCATCTTTAATGTCGTTCGCATCGACATCTACTAAAGGTGACGCAACGTCATCTGTACCTGTTATTGGAATGGATCCTACTGCATCTATTTCGGAGAATGTTGTTGTCGGCCCTCCACCAAAGAGTGGATTTGTTAAGAAGTCATGATTAAAGGAGAATTATTCGAAGTTCGAACAAATTTAGCGAACTCAAAATTCGAGGTGACGGTGAATAACTAATCAGAGCTAATCAGGTTGATGCTGGCATTGTACCTGACATTGATACAAGTCACTAGCTATACGAACATTGAAATTACATTTTTTTCTTTGTTTGACAGTTTAGCACTGCTGATTCTGTTATAGCGTTCCAAAATTATCAATCAGTGGATTATTCCCTGATGTGATTTGGACGATGAGTGATTATCATAGTTACCAAAATTGGCCTACGTTACGTATTTGATGATACACATGAATTAAATCACAAATTAAAATCGTTTTCTGGAATGAAAAATTAAAGTCAGTTACAGAACTTCAATTTATATACGCAACATAAATATTTTATAATATTTAATTAAGGATTTTATTAACCGAATTGGTATTCAAATTCAACATATTTGGTAGATGGAAGAAATGTAGCACTTGTCATTTGGCATGAAATTTACGTAGAGAACAAGCGGTTAAGTGAGCAAGAATGAAACTCCGTAATATGAATGCAAGTTATGCAAATTCTTTATGTGGTTTATTGTAAATATATGACTTATGAATGAATATCAATTAAATAAGATATACAAGTTTTTCGAAAATATGCTTGCATTATGAGACTTCACACGTACGTTCTCAGATATGCAAAAAATTTAATAAAATACTGTATTCTTTTACTTGGCAGCCTTTTTTACCTTAAGTCATCCTTTCTATACATCCCACACTATTATTACAGATCCATTTCTGCACTTCAATTTTCATTAACATATTTATTTTATACAATAGTCTCGAAGTCGAAGACGTGTCTCGAATGATTTTTCGAACCCTGTTGAATAATTTCCTTGAAATTGTTTTTAAAAAGCATCGAAAGCTGTTTTTTTTTTATATACGAACATTACAGTATCCCAGTTTACCGAAATCTCAGGTTTGTCAGCGACGATGATCGATCGATTCGAGTAAAATTTGCCCAGCTTTGGTCTGACTTATGCAAAAACCAATGGTCCTATTACAGGCCGGACCCCCTGGTAAATACAGACGTAGCACGAACATTAACATCAGACGAGCCTTCGACAAAAAAGTTTCCTTCTCTTATCGTTCGTTTCCTTCTTCGTGAAAAATCCCGACACAGGCGTGGTAATCGCCAGACGGATCTTACGTGTCCTTTGAAACGGTGTTACACGTCCAGTGGGATCATCGAATGGCGTTACCTTATCGTGTGAGCAGTTTTTAGTTAGCTGACATAAAAAAGAATGCTTCGGCACATGCTAAGGTATCACGAAACGCTAATTAATTGCAGTGCAAGCCCACAGGTTGCGGGGGCTGCTTTGCATTTTGCGTGCAGTTCCTCGTAAAACTACATGGCTGTCAGCCCGGGCGAATTTCAAGATGATTTATCGTCTTGGCAAAACTAAGTTTTTCGCGATACTTCGTGGCTTCTCGGGGACTCTGAAAGGCGCAGGCAATTCCTTCGCGCATGCAACTACATTCATCGGCTGTACAACTTGTACCGTTGCTTATGCGACTTGACGTCGTTGATCGACTCGTGTTTTATGTCCCTTCCATCCAGCTCGAGCCACTCTGAAATATGTTTCCTCTTCTCGCCTCTGGAATCTCGTCAACTGAATTTCCCTGCGGGTTTCACGTAAACCCGTTTTGTGTAGCTTAGCCACCGGTATTTATGTCGGGTAATGAATACCTTTGGCTGCAACTTCTACCCGCGCGCACGCCACGTTACGATTTTATAACCTTGTGTATCTATTTTAATGGCTGCTTCTCGCAGACACGCCATGTACTTCCTCTCTTCCTTTTTTTTTTATAGCTAGTTAAGTGTACATATGTCTAAATACTTTTTTTCTTCAATGCGATTCGAATTTCGATTATCCGAATATGGAATGGTAGTGAAATCCTCGAGTTTAGTGTATTGCTTGTGTTCATTGTATATATGCATATGTTTAAAAGAAGAGAAGCCCTATGTTGGAAAATTTTATTGTTATTATTTACTGTGCAATTTATACTTTTTCACAACATTGTTGTTATGTAACGTTTTAATATAGCTCTGAACGCAGGTTGCTTTCAAAGAGAAGAGTCTCTTCAAACACAACCGCATCAAGAGATGGACGTTTATGTCTTGCGGTGGTAGCGGAAAGTGTAAGGGCAAGATTTTACAACAAGACCTGGTAAAAGTGATTTACACCTTGGAAAAACTCCATGACGTTTACGATATCTACTCGCAAATTATTTATGGCCCTTGCACGTGTCGAAAAGAACTCTACCAACCACACTTTCCATCGTTTCTTTAAAAAAAATTTTAAATGCCTATACAAAGTGTAGAAATTATTTGTGCACATTTACATTCAATCAACAGAACTGTATATTAAGAAAAAATATTTACTTATCATTTTGTTATGTTAAATTGTCATCCTTTTAAGTTCTCAATCTGCTTTTACATGGATTACAATGTAATATAGATTACAATTTAGTTTATATATATAGAAACATTTACTGGCCATTTTGTTATGTTAAATACTAACCTTCATACTATCGAAATACACAGATTGCTTCGACATTTGTTCCTATAACTGTATGTGCTGTCTTGTATGCTCAAGTGCTGACAGTGTTCTGGACACCTACTTTATATCGACGCAAGCGCTAAGAACTTGCAATTTTCTCCCCACTCGCTCGTATTCCTTTCCACTGTGGTATATTGCACACATTGAGCCCTCCGCGGCCCTGGTAATCGAGCATACAGGTGTATTCGAATCAAATTATTTTATTCAAGTTTATGCGCGAGTGACACAGTGTTTTTACCGGTTGACAATTCGTCGGGGTGAAAAGTTGTCGGGAGCATCATCATGACGGACGAGGCAAGACCGAGAACCTTGTAAGTGCACCCTACATTTTCGAAAGTTTGTTTGCCATCATAATTGTTTTTGGTAGAGCAGTACCTTTCAATGTATCATTTATAGAACTCATTGGCAACTATAGTGGAATTTATTCCGTACTGTGACACGTACAAATTTTATTTAACCTCTTATTGCGACCAACAGAAGGGTTTTGTTTTGACCGACAGTGTCACGTGGTTGTGAGCGATGGTTTTGTAAATCAAAGCTGTGAGACAGTTGAACCGATTTCTAATAAATTTATGAATTTTATAAATTTGTAAGGAATTGATTTAAAAGTTTAAAATATTTATAGATATTGACAAGCTGTCGCCGATAAATGTCCTGCAATTAGATCTTATCGATATTCAATGGTTTTTAAAATTATTTTAATTTCGATTGGTTTCATGTGCATTACGTCCATAAATTTCAAAGCTAAGCCGTTTAAAATAAGTCGAGACTAACTTCGCATCTAATGCCAATGACATTTACTTACTGCTCTATTCTTATCCTACCGATTCTAGAATAGTAATAGAATAGTTTGTTTCACCGTGTCGTTCAACAGAGAAAATTTCGTGCAATTGGAAATAAACTTAATAAACGTATTCACTTCGTGAATCCAGTTAGAATTCGTTGCGCCAATATTAATCAATGTTTATGCGTTTTTGGAAATTTGGATTTTTGCCTATTTTCGTTTTGACTTCCCAATTGTACACGTAGATTCCTGGCACACATCCATCTCACGCTATTTTCTGGAATTACAGACCGTTCTCTGATTTTCTTTATCAAGATTTGGCGAGCAAATTCGAATTTCAAATTAATCTTCAGGCTTTTGGCTACTGTACGCATTTACGACCATCTTAATATGGTCAGCATCTGCTATAATAACGTGCTGACACCGCTAACAATTTTTGGATATCGTTCGTACTCCAGTACGTACTTTCTCATATACTTCTCTGCGTTCGTATGATTCTTTCTTGAATTCTATCGTACGAGAAGATCTGCAAAGTATCAGCAGACAAAGTATTTGTTTAATCGGTCACCAATTTTTAGTGAAATACATTTAGTGAATACATTCTGGAAAATTTTATATTTTATATTTCTTCATATTTTTTGAATTGCTCTATTCGATTTCTTAGTTGCATGATATACAGGGTATCCCAGCCTAAGTGATAAACAGCTCTAACTCCAAAACTATCGGCCAAATGTAAAATTTCAAATATGGAAATTGCATGGTAAAATGGAGCTCATGTTTCAGTGCGAAGGAATTTTTGTTAACTTTGTTATTTAACGTGATACGATGGTCAAGTTTCGTTTTTCAAATGGAACTATATATTTATTTTTATACCATGTGATAATATTTTTCAAGACGAATTCATTAAGCTTTAATGTATTTACCAGATTTTTATTAGTTTTCAAGCTATAACGCTTCAAAGTTTGCTAATTTTCAAGGAAAAATCTCGGTTCGGCCCCGGGCGGTCCCATTGATGCCGTAAGCACCATGTGGTTCTTGAAATCGATACGGAGGGTCTCGCTTGGGATTCTAGGCCCAGAATATTTGGATTCTTCCTGTTTTCCTTCCTTGGGCCTAGAATCCCAAAGTACTATCGCATGGTATAAACAAAAATATAAAGTTCCGTTTGAAAAACGAAACTTGACCATCATATCTCGTTATATAACAAAGTTAATAACAAAGTTAATATCTCGTAAATAACAAAAATTCCTTCTCGCTGAAACATGAGCCCTATTTTACCATGGAAATTCCATATTTGAAATTTTGCATTCGACCGATAGTTTTGAAGTTAGAGCTCTGTATTACTTAGGCTGGGACACCTTGTATGTAGAGAAACTTGTACATTTAAGGAGACTGTTGTATTATATATGTATTCAAGAATTGTACAAATTGTGGAGAATTTTAGTTTATTTCTTAGATTACTTGTTTATTTGCTTTGTATAAGTAGCATAAAATTTCTTGAGACATACAATTAAGAATCTTCATTCAAAATATTTTGAACTTTCATTGGCATTAAATTTAATATCTGTACAATGATATTGCAATTTGTAGGATAGACTTTTGTGACCGGTGGCATCTGTCATACTTTACTAATTTGATAATTCTTCTATCGCCAATATAGATACGTCGGAAATTTAGACCTAAGTGTTTCGGAGGACTTACTGTGCGCTCTCTTCTCCAGTATCGGTGTCATCAGGGGTTGCAAGGTCATCAGAGATGTAAGAATATTTTTGCATGCTGTGTCGGATGATTATTTTTCTAGTCTACGTTTTCTCGTTTTTTCTTCTTTTCTTTTTTAAACTGAAAACGTTTTTGTTAATTTCAGTTTGTGAAACTGTAAAAATTGAAAAATAAATAGCAGTTCGTTTGAGATTACAACATTTTCATCGTTGATTCCCTGCTAATGGAGTAAATGTGTACTTCATTCTTTTATTTATATATGTTCATTTGAGACTGGTGTACATTTCTTAAATGCACTAACTATGTGCTGCAGAGAAAGACAAGGGGGTTGCGAAACTGCTGAACTCTGCGCCCTTCTAGGTCGGCAGGTCCATAAACTTAAGTGGCTGAATATTTCAATGTCTTAGGGATCGTGCCACAGGAGAATGTACTCCTTGCAGATGCTTGAAATTATTCGGTCTAAAAGCGAGACACGTGATATTCTAGCCCCATTAAGGAAGTTTTAACGTGTAACTGATCAGACCTTCTGTAGAAAACAGTGATTCAGAATATGAATTACAACCAGTGGTAGGCAAATTTGATTCGAAAAATAATAGAAGAATAA